CGTCAGTGGTGATTCTAATGTAACCAATCTGCCTATTCGGCCGTCGGGACCATCAGTTTTCTCAAGCTTCAGATACCCGTTGCACCGGCCCTCTAAGTCGCAACCTAGCATCACAAGCCGAGTCACAATCTCAACATGGTCGTTAGCAACGGCTAGGTGAATTGGTTGGAAAAAGGCGTATTCGCCGCTCGACCATCGATTAAAGTCCGCCGGCCCAGACCCGTCGCTTTTCAAGAGATCATAGGTGCAGCCGATAGACCCATAAAGACACGCGAAATGCAAGGGGGTCAATCCGAGTGCATGGGTAACGTTGTCTGCTTTCGCCCCCAACTTGAGAAGTGCGTTGGCGGCTGATGGTTGATCGGCCATGACGGCGGCGTGTAACGGGCTGCGACCGTAGTCATCGCCGACGTCGATCGAAGCACCTAAATCGGCCAGGCCGCGAATGACTTCCTTGCTGCCACCACACGCAGCGTGGAAGAGAACCGATCGCCCGGCATTGTCTCTGGCGTCGATGTGTTTGGTGGTTCCCATCATCTTGGTCAATGCGTCTACTGCCTGCATGTTGCCAGTGGCTGCTGCTCGATGCAATGGAAGCTCACCCAGGTCGTTGATGTGTGGGAACGAGTGCGAACCGAGAAAGTCTTCTTTGATCAGATCAATAATCTTGCGTATCCTGTGGTTTGCCAGCCCGGCAGGCGCGTAGGCGGAGAAGAGATGGAGGATGGTTTCGAGTCTCTTTGATGTGAACTTGTGTAAAATGTCGGGGTCGGTCCCAGAGTAAAACTCGATTTCGTCTTCGGCTTGCAAGACCTCGGTTGTAATACCTTGCAGAATGTCGGGTCTTTTCTTGAGATTTGACTCTCTCTCTTCTTCCAGAAGATATGCAGCGAGGTTAAAGTGCCCATTGAGTACCGCAAGATGAACAGCCATAAAACCACTTCGTGTTTGACTCATGGTATCTGCACCCAGCTTCATCAATGTCTTGAGCATGGATAGCGAACCAAGAGTCGCGGCCCAATGGATGGCTCTGAAGTCGTCAAACTCTTCAGTCCGCAGCTCAAGAAGACCTCTTCGTTGCCTTACGAGAGACTGGACATCTCTATCACTTCTCGCACGAACGGCCCGAATCAAGTCGGCGTATGGTTTGCTTTGCTCAATCTTGACGGCGTGAAGCTCATTCCCAAATCGGATGGCAATGTTGACTGCCGTCTTTGTCCTCACTCCACCGGGCATGGGAAGTGTCGGAGACAGCATAAGGGTGAACCTATCTTGGTAGCAACAGCAACGTGTGACTGCGCCGACCTCGTCAAACAGTACCACAGGCTCTGGAGGCTCTGCAGCTCGCCTAGGCGTACTTGATAGAGCACCTTCGTCACTTGGAGCAAATAAGAGTTCAGAGGTGCCAGAAACCTCCAGCTGGATAAATCGTCGACCTCTTCTTTGGGACTCTTTGGCATCGATGGTGATGAACCCCAAACCTTTGGAGTTTTGGTACAATGCAGGGCCATCCGAAGCAGTGGCGATTTCAGAGAACTCCAGGTAGACGGACTCAAGACTATTCCCGGTGTAAGGATGCTTCTCGTAGCACACCTCCCACCGTCTCCTGACTCGACGAAGCCCGATAGCAACATCTACGACTGAGCGCTGGCTCTGCTCAAGCGACATGAAGCGCAAAACGACCATCGCGCGCTTCGAGTGCGGCTCTTTGGTCCGTATCACAGACAGAGTGGTGTCCCATCGTTCGGGCGGATACGCTTCATGAATGGTAAAGGCCAGATGAGAAACAGAATCTTTCGAGCTTGGCCGAAGCTTTGTCTTCACGCTGAGTTCGGGGAGTGCGTAAAATGGGTTCTCCTTTACGTAGATGTTCTCGTACGTCCCCTCAGCGTCATCGAAATGGTCCAAAGGAAACAAAATGACAGAGCCCTCTTCAGAGGCAACTCTTGCGAACTGGTCACTCCAAAGACGTTGTAGAATGATACAAGGGCTCAGCTCTTCGGTGGCAGATTCAGGCTTGGAGACGATGCAGTCCAAAAGAGCGTAGTACTCATCTCCATCCGGCTGTCGTGGAATGAGGAGAATGTTTGTTCTTAGCCCTTGATTAGTGACGCTAGTTGGCGCACTATCTTGGGATTCTGATGGAGGGAGAGGTCGCACATGGTCAAAGTCCACCCTTGAGAAGGAGCTCGGTGAACTTGCAAGCAAGCCGAAGAGGTCATCAGAGGGTTGAACGTCCGCTGGCATCCCCCAGAGAAACAAGGACTGGTCATCGCTCTCTTTGAGGATCTCTTCTTGAAGGCGGGTGAATGCTCGGTCACCTTCGCCGTAGAGCAAGGGCATGTTCACCTTGAACAGTCCTATCAGGCAGTATGCTTTGTCTTCCGGTCGCGTCGTCTGTCGATGCCCCGCCCATCGCATCTTATTCGAAACACTGATGTCACTTAGGAATGATGTGCCAGAGAGCACCTGCTCGTCAATGCCGGTAATCCTGGCAAGCAGTTGACAGAAGACATTTCTTGACTGCTTTGTGTTGATGTAGGACCAGTCCCCCGCGTAGAACTCAACGGTCTTCGGTGCAATGAGCTCTTGCAACGTCCATCCTCGGGTGAACCACCGACTACTCTGGAAAGTCGAATCCTTGGCAAATGGGCTCTGCACGGAAACAGGCTCCACGTCAGAGAGGAACGCGTAACAGATGGCTGCCTTCTCGTACCAACGGTACATGGAGTTGATGGACTCCGATAGCTCGGCGCTGCTAGTCTTGTCGATGCAGCAGGTGTCGGCCCATAGGTAACGGTGACGATGGCTCTTGGCCAGGTTGGCTGCATCTCGTATCTTGCGGAAACCGTTGGTGGAGCGGACCTGGTCGGCCGCATCCGCGGAGCCCGACCCCGGACCGGGTGCCGCGTCCGAGGCCAAGCCGAGCGCTTGAAAGCTTTGGAACGTGACTTCGTCGCTGCCCCAGGTGTGAGACAATATCGCGTACTCCTCCTGGGGGTCGCCCTGTACCTCGACGAGCTTGAGGCTATCCGTGTCAATAAGCCACATCTCAAATCAGCTGCGTGGCGGAGGGCGAGCGTCGGAAAGATGGAGGTAGGATGCCAAGGTCGAGACGCCGATCGTCAGCTGAGCTCAAGTCATTCGAGAAGATGATGATTTGTTATCTTGGGAGAGAAACATGATTGGTCCGGCTCCCTGCAGCTAAGCTCGATCTTCAGTCCAGCACTGAGAGCATCTTATGCGTACCATTTCATAAATATCAGTAAATCAATTGGGCTATATCAAAGTTGCCTTGTTATAGTTGCAAAGACTATGGGACTCATTTCTCAACTCTACTATGCTCCTCAAAGTGCAACTCAGAGCATTTGGCAATTTGTCGACTAAATTTCTAGCAATGGTCTAGAGCCTGAGTCGAATAACGAATGTCCACAAGAGCCCAATCTTAAAATGGAGGAGACTCTCCAACGACCTAACGATCAGTATTAAGCTTAAGAAGTGCTCTATAAGACTAGGTAAAACGCGCTAAGAAGCGAATGCTATTACAAGACGCGGGATGCCGAAGCGACGTCGTGGGCCTTAAAATCTGGATTTATGATGTGAAATTCAGTTTCGCCGCCCATGGAAGAGTGTCGGATCCGGAGATCATATCCCCTGACGAGCGGCTGAGCAGCCAATCGCAATTTTCTTTTGGTTGAATATCCCCCCGCCTCGCAGTTTGATCTTCAAGGAGGTTCAAATACTCCCTCCGACGAATTGCAATGGCGACGGTTTCCAACCGTGGGATTCTGGAGTTCTTTCTCCCTGTCATCCCCACCAAAAACACCAGAGACCCTAGCCAAGGGAAACAGGGGTTCATCCGAGGAGCTCGCAGCGTCGCTTCATTCCCATGTTTTGAAACTTCGTTCGATCTTCGAAACCGGTCATGCCCAGGTAACACAGGTGCTCAGCCATCTTTTCAGGCCTTCCAAGGCTGTCATCGCAGCATCTCAGGCCACACGATGGCAGATGCAGCGCTTCTGTCAACTCAACTATAAGATGGCACCTGTCGCGTCGCTGTCAGTTCATGTCACTAAGTTTCAACTCATCAACAGCGAAACTGTCATCCGATACAACAACTTTTCTTCTTTAGACCTGGTGTCATCTTTATTTAAGCTGATCTCAAGTCTTTGCGCTCATTTTCTTTCACATTTTCCTCTCTCTCAAGATACCCATTTGAGTCATTCCAATCCACACAAAATGTACGCCCAACAAGTTCTCGTCACTTTCTTGATGGCCACCAGCGCCACTCTCGCTAGCGCAAGTGAGTATAACATCTCAAAAACCACCGTCGTCCCATCTTTTCTCTAACCGTGTGACTGCTTTTAGGAAGCATCGAAAGACGCCAACTGCTTGGAAACCTCGGCAGTCTCTCGTGCAACGTCGCAAGACTCCAGATCCTAGGCGCTCTCGGCAACACCGAAGACGCTGTTTCCCAAATCACCGACACAACAGTTCAGGATGCTGCCAACGCTGGTCTCCAACAAGCACGAGGCGGCATCGCGCAAATCGCCAAGTCGATTGTCAGCGGCGCCGCACCACCCGCTGCCAGCCGTGACGAGGTAGCAGCTGGACTGGCTGCGGCCGGTACTGCTCTTTCTGGGGGTGATGCGTACGTATATAAGTCTCATATTATGCAAGTTGAGTATCGCAATGGCTAACAAACCTTATAGGAGTGACCAAGCCGTAGCTGATGCGCAAGCGGGGCTTGATAAGTCTGTCAAGGCTGGCCAAGATGTCGTCGCGAACTGCTAGAGAGTACCTTAGATATATGGGTGAAGGAGCTGAGCTCAGCAAATGACGAGAACGAGGCAAAAGACAGCAGCAGGACTGGCGCATGGATTAATACCACCATTTTCAATTTTCAAGACTGATTCTCTTCATTTCCAGCATGTCCTCTTTATGTTGGTAAACCCGAATACTCACACGAGCCCTGCTCGAGTCTCTTTCACACGATAGAACTACCTCGTCGTTCCAACCAGTTTCCTAGCCTGTTGCAGGTCCTGCGCCATGCCACCCAAGTGAACCACGTCAGCCGAGACCATGATCAGACTCATCCGCTCCGCAGCTTTCTTCAGGCCTTCTGGACTCCCATACGGAGGGCCACCAAAGGCAAAACCCGCATAAGGCTTATCGTGCTTGTCAATGGTATCAAAGAACTGCTTCGATACCTTGACCCATTCAGGTTCGGAAGCACCTATTCCTCCCATTTTGGCCTCAAGGTTCATGCTGACTCGGGCATCAAGGGTGCCAAACCAGACGATGTCGATATCCGAGCCGCACACTGTCAGGATCGCGTCGAGGTTTTCGACGGCTTGGGCTGACTCGATTTGGATCATGATCGCGGCCTGATCATTGAGACACTTGTGTAGGTCGCGGTGGTCATAGGGAGTATCGGTAAGACCAGGCACAAGACGAAAAGGCGGTAGGGATCGCGTGCCGTTTTGCGCGGTCCCAAACTTGGCGGCGGCGATAGCGTGTTTTGCTTGCTCAACTGTTTCGATCTGGGGAACGACAATGCTGGCGCCGGCATCTAGAGCGTACCCAATGGCAGCGTGATCGTGACCAGGGAGGCTGCGCAGTAATATCAGCATGAAAGCCTGAAAGGGCGTACGACAGACATACCGAACGAATGGGATAGTGCGGCCTTGGCTCATGAAAGAAGCCTCGTGAACCATCTAAACCGCGTCAGAACATTCTTTGCGTGTTGCAAGGCGAGTCTAGGAGTACCGTCGTCATGGTTTCCGTATTGCATGGGGTATGCTCCCAATCAATCCATACGGCATCGAAGCCCATGGGGGCTAAGTACCGGGTAATGGGGATGGAGCTTAATCCCGCATAGTAACAGAGCAGTGGCGAGATCTTCTTTGCGTGGGCGTCCCGAATGGCTTGACGGGCCTTGTGGGGCTGGAAGAGCGAAGGAGCAGCATAGGCAGCCATGCCTTGTGAAGATGCACTCTTGTATTCTTCTCCGGAGGTTACCATGTTGGATATTTGAAGTGTTTGATTTGTCTCAAAATAATTATCGGTGAGATGCTTTAGTGATTCCAATCAAATAGGTCGTAAATACTCGTCTTCATTCTTCTTATAATCCGTTTCACTGAAAATCCTCCTCCAATATCCCGCGCCCTTCGAATTCCAACATCAATGCGCAATCAGCTTTACGTGAGACCATCAAATCAGCTTTCGGACTTTCTGGCTGAGATACCGACCGGTGATATTCCTGGTCTGAGCACTCGGCCAAAGAGGATGTCAGTCTTGGAGATGTCCGATGAGACAACGGGCAGTAGGAAGCTCGTAAGACGGCTCACTATCTCAAGAAATACTGTAAGTATCTAGACGAGCCGAGGCACCGAGGCAAGCTATCCAAAATGCGGAACTTGAGTGATCTGCATATACAGCCGCTGCGGCTCACACAGCTATTCCCAGACTGTTGTTTCGTCGAACTATCAGAGTCCTAGCGTCATGGGAAGGCGGTTGGACCAAGCTCGTGCGATTTCCGAGACATTGTGGTGGCTTACTGCTAGACTAAAATCTGACAGGCGTCGGGAGCTTTTATGTCATAAAGCCGCTGCCGAAGGAGTCGGGGAGACTTCCGTGGACGGCTTTGTTGTCATCTCACTAGAGCACTCATTCCAAAAATCTCAAGTCAATGTTATCGATTTCGTTTGTCTCATGCAAGACTTCGAATAATCAGTAAGACGGTCCTAATTACATCATATTCATTCATCACCAACATCAAACGATAACTTTCGCTCTACCAAACATCGACGCTATACCCATGTCACCCGAAGTACTGCCAAGTGAGCAAGCGAGCGATCATGTTTCGCGGTCGTCTTCTCCCGACCAGGCACTTCAGGTAAGTTGCAAATACCCATTATTCGGATATAATTGTGTCACACGTGCCGTCCAGCTCACATAACTTCGACTTCAGACGCGCCGAGAGCGGAACCGCGAGGCCCAAAAGGTCTTCCGCAAACGCAAGCAAGCTGCGGAAGAGATCCAGGCGACGCGCCTGCAGCATCTAGAAACCACCGTCGCCAAGATGAGCTCCGCGGTCGTTGATCTTGTCGACTGGATGCTGGACATCGAGGCGCTGAAGCAGGAAGTAGGGGTCTTGACGCGGATCCAGGACATGGTGGCGCACGTGTTGGCTTTGGCTGACGATGCTGTGGCGTTAGAGGATGAGCTTCCGAAGAGAAGGAAGAGGAAGCTTAGAGGAGCGAAGAAGACCCCAATACCAAGTCCCGACCCCCAAGACCATGCTGGCGCGGGCATGAAAGAGGACGATGCTTGTCCTCGAGATAACACATCCCACGTGGCATCGTCTCCGCAGGCAAACTTCTTAGCACCAGAACCCCCATCCCTCACACCAGACGACCAAATCCTCTCTCACCTCACATCCCTAGCCTGCCGCCCAAATTCACTACCCCCTTCCCTTGGAACCTTCCACTGCGGCTCAACAACCACCCTCAGCCCAGACTCCTTCAGCTTCCGCCTCACGCACACCTGCTTCACTCTAGGCTACCTCGTCCTCAGCAAATCCCTCGACTCACCCCTCCCGCACGGAGAAGAGCCGCGCATCTTCAGCTCGACGCTCAGATACCGCAACAGAGATGACATCATCACAAAGATGAGGTGGCTCGTCGGACCAGGCCAGCACGAGCTCCAACAAGCCGCAGAACTACCCATGGGCGGACGCTGGTACGGCGACGAATTCAGCTCCGAGGACCTGTCGCCGGAGAACCTTGACCTCTTTGAGAAGACGGCGCTGGCGGATGCTCGACAGACGCGGTTTCTGAGTGTCGCTGGTGTTGAGAGGCAGCTTATTGCTCTCGGTGCTCGGGTGGTGGATAAGGAGACGTTGGAGCTGAGGTTGAATGGGCCGTTGAAGCTGGTTGGGGATACGGGCAAGAAACGGTCTTTGGCGTCGGAGAGTTGGAGTTTTGTGGATTGTTTCCCGCAGACTTTGAAGAGAAGGTCGAGGAAGGCTTTTACGGTGCAGCTGAATATTACGCTGCTGATTGCTAATTTGTCGAGGTGTGCGGTGTGTCTTATGAAGGGACCGGGGTTTCCGAGGGATAAGCTGAAGAGGGCGATAGAAGATTCTGTGGTCATGGTTAATAGCTGTTGAAGTAATATTTCGTTACAAGTGTGTGGCTTTCTCAAGACATCAGTGTGATTGCCATGAATATCCTGTGTTGAGGGCGCCCAGGGGGATAGAGTTGGGATTGTTGCTTGCAAGTGCTTTTTACCGTTGGATTGCATGTAGGATGATGAACGTCAATGGCAGTATGGAAGCAAGTGTATCGTCAATGGCAAAGTCATATATCTGGCTAGAGTACATCCCGAATCTAATATCCTGGATACCACAACTCGCTGCGCTTGGTCGCTTCTTTGGCATCAAGCGCTCCACCAGACCAGACCAGCTTTAATGACCTTGTATACTATGTGCCACTGAGAGACACCACGGACTGACGTGTCCGAAATCTCAAAGGTTTGTGGTCGCTAGCCCATTTACCCTGACTCGTCCATCGGTTTCCCATCAGTGTCGGCTGTCTGCTCCTCGAAACCATCCTCTTCCTCCTCACCCTCCACTTCGCCTCCAACATCAGAGTCGTCGTGTTCCGCCATCTCTGGCTCTTCTTTCTCAACTTGCTGCGCCGCAGCTGCGGCCTTGGCTTCAGCGTCAATTCTCTTCTTCTCGTTGAACTTCTCGATGGTTCTAAGGGTCTTATCCGCAGCTGCTCTGGCGGCGGCGGCAGTTCGATTGGCATACGGAAGCTCGAATGCAGCATGGGAAACTGCCTTGATGCCCATCTGAAGAGACTTAGCCTCTGCCAGGATTCCGTCACGGACGTCCCTGTCGCCCTTGCTTGTAGTCTTCAAGTCGTTCACAGAGTCGATGAATGTCGTGACCATGTGCTGCAGAGTCACATGGCGGCTTGTAAGAAGGTTGAAGGCGGCCTTGGAGATATAGCAGTTATCATCATCTGCGAGTGTCTCTTTTCCAGGAACGTAGGTGGAAGGTTCGAGTTTCTGGGCAGGCTGGGTGCTGAGGTCGGGACTGGATCTGTCTTCAATGGCCTGCTCGGGAATTTTGGAGATCTGTCCAGCGAACGGGTTTCTCTTGTGCGAGGTGCTAGCCATAGGCTCGTCGTCCGAGTAGAAACCACCAGCCTCGACGGTCGCAACCGGCTCTTCATCCTCGCTGTTCCTCCCGGAAAACATCGGGGGCTCTTCAGTCTCTGACTCGACAGCCTTGCGCTCGGCGTGAAATGTAGAGGTCTTCACGAATGGGTGACTGGGCCTATGGGCCAGAGGGAGTGAGGCAATCGGGGATAGAGTGATGAGCTCGGGACTGCCCTTCTTCGGGTCCTTGCTACCCGGTACGCGAAGCTTGATCAATCTCGTCTTCTTAGAAGATCTCGGAGACTCTGGGGTCTCATTTCTTCTCTTCAATCTCTTTCTCTTCTTTCTCTCGATGGAAGGAGAGTTCTCAATTGCATATTTCGAGCTCAGCTTGTGAGACGAAGGAACGCCCACGGCTTCGTCTTCGGGAGAGGAGAGAATCGGAATGACTGGTACTTTCGCCATCTTGGGCCAATCGTTGGTATTTGAATGCGATGAGAGAGAAAATTTATTCGTGATGAAGTAAAGTCTCCCCGGGAAGTGAATCTCGCGTTGCAATGACGATGCCCGGGTGTTGTGGAATTTGTCTGTCCAAAAGGGTAGTGGAACCAGGAAAGGTGAGGCTGTCAGAGATATTTGTGGTCAGAAATGAAAAGGATTTTGACAGTGATCGCAGAGAAATCATATAAGATTGGTACCTGTCTAGTCAAGTGATCTGAGAAGAAGCGCGGAAAGCCGTAGATGTGTGAAGTGTCGAAGGGGCAAGGCGAAGCGGTTGGCGAGTGATGGAAGAATGAAAAGGGGAAGAATGAAATGCCTTTGGGAATAACAGCGCGGCAAGAGGACTTTTGAGAAAACGATAAGACTAGCCAATATAGCGCAATAGTCTGTGGTCTTGAATGAGTGTTAAGTGAGATGTCGAGGTGGTTGAGTGAGGTGAAGGATGAGGAATGGCGAAGGTGAGTTGACAGTGGGTCATGTGACCTTCAAAATTGAGGCATCTGAGGAAGGAACAGGTCTCCCTATTGCTCCTTCTGGTGGAATGAAGATGCCCACCACAGCAGGTGCGCTCCTTCTGCTTTTCGTCTTCATAGCCCATCTGTAGCGGCCTGAAATCAAACGTTTGAATCGCGATGTCTCACGCACATGACATCTCGGCGTCTCCATTTAGGCAATGAAAGGGTCACCATGGCAAGCAAGTAATCAGGGGAAAGTTTGTGTCTCATAGATGAAGTTTGATGATACCATCCAGCGAATCGGAGAGTCGTAGGCTAAAGCAAGAGAAAGCTAGCGATGACGAGATGCTGGCAATCCATACTCTTTCGCATGCTGACTCGCTCGCTCGTATCCGAGATACCCCATGACCGTTCCTCCTCTGTGCTACAAAGCCGGGTGTTTTCCCTTCTCAAGCTCCACCGCCGTATCATGCATCTCCTCCAAGGCCATATCAATGATGCGGGCCTGAATCGATTCCGCATCAAGCGAGTCCTCCGTATCCTTCATCCAGCTTGCGGAAAGCTGCTGTGCTGCAGTGATTCGTGCCATGTGAAGTTTGAAGGCTGATTTGGAGATTATCATCTGATCATCTTCTTCGGCCTGCGTCTCCTTCTCTCGCTGGTCCTGCAGCTGGGCTTGCTCCTTGAGACGGCGGAGAGCGAGGGCTCGGGCGACTGTCTTGACGGCGTCGGTGCGCTTCTCGGGAGCGACGTTCTCGACAATGTAGGTCGCGACTTCCTTGGCGGTGTCCTGTGGCTTCTTGTGATACTCTTCTTCGTGCTGTTCTTGTGACGTGGGGAAGTAGAAGTGACGGCAGGAGATGGTTCGGCGCGGAACGTGAGATTGATGGGTGTCGACATCCATGGGCAGGATGGAAGATGCGCCCCTCTCGGAGGCTGCTCTCGAGGCTGCCATTGTACGCTCGCTCTCACTGTCGGAATAAGACATTTGCGAGTGGGGGTCGGGCCACGGAGATGAGCTTTCCTCGGTCATTGTCCTTGCTTTGTTGTACCGGGATATTGGTGTAGCTTTTGAGTCAAAAATTCTTTAATTGAGAGAGATTACTTCCTGCGGTCTTTTGTCAGCTGGAACTTTGCGAAGAGAAAGAGGTCCTGCCCTTGATATTTGCCCTTGCCGGGTGCTGCTGTCTCGAAGGCAGCGCCCTCGAGAGAGAAAGACGTTTTCGAGAGGCTGAGGAAGGAGCCTATAGCATGTGAACTTGCCTGCCTCCAGTCAAAAGACACTATGCGGACGACTCTGCATCACCAAAGGAAAGACAATCACCAAGGGAGATCAAGAGGCATTCAATTCTCAGTCAGTGTTGACTGGCACCTTTGCATTGGTATGTTGTGGCTCGTCTTCATTGACATCAGGATCGGATGCATTGAATCACTCCAATTCCCCCTCGTCTCCAGTATCCTCATTCATAGTCTCATCAACCGACTCTGCGTCTTCATCCTCGCCGTCACCATCAGCATACTCAACGTCATTCTGAGCTGCAAGTGCCGCCTCTGCAGCCAGCTTCCTCTCCTTCCGCAGATCCCCAGGTGTGGGGATGCCGTGCTTACTCTTCTTGTGCTACTCCGTTCGTGTTAACTTCGGTTCTTGGATGGGGTTGTGGTTTGGATGGACTTACTCTGTAGAGAGTGCACGCAGAGGTGTATCTTTTCGTCTGATTACAGACGTCGCACCCGTACAAATCCTTGCCGCGCTTTCGGTCCCGAGGCTTTCCAGTCAAAGCAGCTTTGCCAGTCTGGATAATTGCGAGCGCAGAAGCAGCAACAGTGACAGCAAGTACGGCAGCTTGATTGGAGATGATTTCTCCGGTGCCGATGGTGGAACTCATGTCAGTCTGAGGCTGGGCCGGTCCAACGTTGTTGCTGTTGTCAGAGCGGTGTGTGGCGCCAGGGCGGATGCCAGTAAGGTCGAAGCTGTTTGGATCGAGTCCCATTCTGCGAAGACGCTCTTCGACTGAGACGCCTTCATCTCTGTCGTTGGCAATGATATGGTAAGGCTCAGGAAAGGGGGTAAGGCCCCGCTGGATGCGACTCGAGATGCGACCCCAAGCTGTCGTCGTACGTGTAATCAGCGCATTGAGGCCGAGGTTCCTGGTGTCTTGCTCCATGAGAATTGCTAGAGTGAGCTGTCGCTCGAAGGTTCTAGTTGCCCTGGGGAGGTCATAGTCCCCACGCTCAAATCGCTGCTGGATAAGTCCCAGTGCGGCCACGGTAGTATCACGAATCCTATCGTAGTTTGCGCTGGTGGCAACCTGCTGCAAGTGAATAGCAAGTGCAAGGTGGAGCTCGAGCTGAAATGACATTGTTCTGGAATAAGCTGTTAGCTTAGATGAAAAATACCAGTCGATCAAAGGAAATGGGGGTGAGGCAACATACGCGCTTCGTTTGTTTTGTTGTGAAAACAGCAACGGCAGCCAGTAGGAAGATGGGTGGATGTGAAAAAGGTAAGTTGACTGCCGGGCCCGTGAAGTAGAGGTTTTATAAGTACCTAGACTGGAGCAAGCTCACACCGCTCAACATTAAAAAAAAAGGAGGAAGGAGCGAGCCGCAGGTGAAGTCGATGTTGCGGAATAAACCAAAAACTTGTGGTTATTCGCAAGCTTCGGATGACCAACTTGGCGCTTCATTGGCTGGTCCGACGGTAATCCACCACGTCTTCGCTCTGGCTAACAGAAGGAGACAATAATCAAGAATCTACTCTGTGCGTACCTCAGAGTGACAAATGCTGCGGAGAGGATGATGTGTATCAGGGAAGAAATAGACCCCTGTGCTATCGACTATCTATTCTCCCGCGCGGGATTCTGTCGGCTGATATACTCGTCAAGGAACTAGCCAAGACTTTCCCGCACTTGACAACCATATCCATCGAGTCATGCTCAGTGGGTCAGTTCATCTTAGGGAGAAGCCTCTTGTATTGTCGGACTGTATAGTTGTCCAAGAAGAAGGCAAAGGGCATGTCTGTCGAGGAAGAACGTGAAGGACACGTCTGGAGCCCAGTGCTCCCACACCGCAATCGTCCGTACCGAAGGGCTGGCCTTGCCGAGTGTTTTCAGATATATAAGCAGAGCTATTCTAAAGGTTGCAATTTAATTGGACATCGAGGGCCCGGGTCCGACGTTCTAGCACGGAAGAAACTCATGGGTGTACCCAGCAGCCTTTTCTGTGGACTGTCAGAATCAGGAATCACCTCTATAGTGTAAAACATCGGAGCGCTCGTGATAAATGGGATGTGTGGAGATGAAACAGATGAATCGACCTCCGGGCCCGAAAAGTAGGGATTATATCAGTATATGAACTTTTCACCGCCCCTCAATCTTAAAGTAGGGAAGCGATGGTAGGGAGAAGGGATGCCTGAAATATAATACACTCGATGTGTGCTCATCTACATGTAAACTAGATAGCAATATCTTTGGAAAGAAGATCGGTCTGAATCAAATAGAGTAAGTAAATAAAACGTACCATATTCTCCAATTCTGATAAAACACCGCGTAACTACAACCCTTTGCCTTTATGTTTTCTTGCTCTCTTCGTCCTTTTGGTGGAAGGAGAAGAGTCGCGCTCTTCTCGTGCCCTTTTGCCCTTCTTGGTGGGCCCGGAGTCAGCTAACCCCGCCTCACGATCGTCTTCATCATACTCTTCAAACTCACCGTCGAGGATGTTATCTGGAAATTCGCCGACGTCTGACTCAGCAGGAGGGAACATCGGTCCGGTACCAAACAGAACGGTAACAGATGGATCGAGTCTACTAGCTCTCATGGTGCTTTGAGGAGAGGGAAGAATGCACTCGCCACGGATTAGGCGTTCGCGGATGCTGAGATAGGTTTCCAAGACCGACGCAACCAGAGTGTTCCAATCGAGGCCAGAGGTGGCACGTTTACCGAGCATAGGAATAGTAAATATTCCCTCAAAAATGTCAGCCCCAGCGCTGGGAAGGCTTGTGTTTCCCTCAAGGAGGCGGCTGCTGACCCTCCAAAAGGCCAAATCTGTTCTTAAAATGAGATCCTTGGTAGTTGAGGTTTCTGGGTTGTGCTCTCCCAAGATCGCAAGGGCGAAAGCATTCTCGATGGCAAATGTCATGATTGATTGGTTCTGTAGTGATTCTTATTGATTTGATGAAGGTGGTTGTGAGCATTGATTCTCGTACTTCTTGGGCTAGCTTGAGTATTTTAAGCTCAAAGTCTATCAGTGAAGAATGCCGCCTTTGTTGACGCCTCGTCAGAGAGAGTGAAGACAATATCTTTGTGAAGTTAAATCGAGCCTTAGAAGAAAGAGAGGCGTTCTAATAATCCTTTTATGGCGCTAGCTCTGATGAACCTTGTTTCAGAGATAGGACAATAAGGGAAGTTATAAAAGGTAGTTGTTGTCAATCTGAGCTGCCTTTCACGAGGCAGTCTCAACTCTTGTGGCTATTCTTTTTCCAGTGGACCGCTGGAAGCAAATCGCTTTAACAAATCTTTCTTCCATCCTCGGAGTAGCTTGGAAACTTTCCCAACAACTCATAAGCGGCAGTCCACGGCTTGACTCCTGCAAGTGTTATGCGTAAACCGTCGCGCCCAGACCAGCATTGTTGCACATGAATGCCTGAATCAGGCGCAAAACAGCCCGGATCGGTTGATCCGAGAAAATAGATCGGAGGCTAACGGAACATGACCGTATCAATCTATTCAACTTTTCTCGAGAAAGTCGGCGCCCTGAATCACAAGATCGAGATCAACCGTTGCAATCATGGCGGAATCGCCGAGTGGGCAAAAAGACTCTGTATAAATCGGAGACGCGAATTGTTTTGCCGCTACCTCCAGTCTTGATGACCTATTGAGGCTCATTGAAAGCGATAGGATCCAGGACTGAGACTTGGGATGCCGACCAGCTTCGTCCACAATGACATTAGAGTTCCGATCTCCGTAGTCCTTCTGCTACAACTTGAACTAATAAACGCCCAGTGTTTAGCCGAGTAAAACGACAGTAATGCTCATAGCAAGAGTCTAGGAGAGTAGTCGGTAATGTTCCTCTATCAGGGCCTAGTAAGTGTCCACGTCCAGGTTCTCTCGCTTGTAAAGGGTTTTAAAGATGACCGAACCACCTTTCAACAAGCCTGCAGGAGCTTTGATAGCTGTATGTGGGCTTTAGGGGCGTTCCAGTCGGAGGCTAACTTTACGGGCCTGGCTTCGATGGGCGAATTGAGTATGAGCTGATTTGAGGGTGATTCGATCACCAGAACAATGCACGAAGGTTATGATGGAATGCATGATAACACAGGGACAAGTATAGATGCATAACATTATCAGTCAAGTTAGATCTGAGAAAAATGTCCGAAAAGAATATTACACGATACTTCTATGCTGTGGCATTACAAAATGGCACCTGTAATTAAAACAAATGTCCAGCCCAAATAACGGAAAAGCGAGTTGGCTTATAAATTTTACAACGCCTGAGATTGAGAAAATTAGTCCTCCATGTTGACATCCTCTTCATTCTGAGGAGCGGATCCGGAAGGACCAGCCTGCGCCTGTCCGCTACTGGAAGCAGTAGCATTGGCTGGATTTCTGGGTCGAGAAGGTCTCTTGGGCGGTGCTGGGTACCCGTGCTTAACCACCATGTGCTATTGTGAAGTCAAGTTAGCATTTCAGCTCGAGCAAGGAGTCAGGGAACAATTAGACTTACATCAAGGAACGTTTTACGGCGGGTGTACGAGGCATCGCAGCTGTCGTACTCGCAGGGCCAGAGCTTGTCTCCCTCGTCGCCCTTCCTCCTCGGCAGTTCCGTATGCGGGTTGTAGACAGGCTCAGGCGAGGGGTTATGAACAGCCGGAATAGGGGCGCTGGGATCGGTAGTGTAAACGGTGGGCTGAACGAATACAGTGGGCTGAGGAGTTGCACTCAGGCGAATCGGGATATTGACCTGGTGTCCTGGCTGAGCTGGGCCAGGGCTGGGATAGACATGGCTGGGTACACCAGTGAGGTTGATGTACTCGGGGCTTGGCGGGTCATAGATGTCGTCTGGGAAGTATTCTTCAGAGTAAGGCCGAATGTCACCACTTTGGGCGGCTTCCCGCCGGAGAACGTTGAGAGATTGGAAGAGTTGATCGAAAATATCCTCGTATGATGTGCCGGTGGCGACGCGCATGCCACGGATGCCAGCGGCGAGGTAGTGGCGGAAAGAAAAGGACATAATGATGATGGATCAGGAAAAGTATGAAGAATAGGGGCTTGGTTGCACAGTGTGACCTGATGAGAAGCTCTTGGATAATGAAAATGGCGACAGAATTACGTGTGGCTAAGAGCGATGAATTTGGAGCTGAGTGAGCCTACCAGCGACAAGTTGGTCGTTCGGTATTCGTGAAACTGTGAACAGGTATTTTGTAGATGACTGCTCGTTGAAAGGCTACTATATTCAAGATGAAAGCTTTGATTAATGTTGTTTGAGCTAGAGAAGTGAAGACTAGAGAGCGAGGTTGACAATAATCTTCTGTCAAACACCGGGATATTTAATCACCACTTGACTGAGCGCAGGGTAGAATGATTCCACGTTGACAGCTTGTAGCATCGGCAAAACTTGATCAGAACAATGACTGGATTTCTTTGAAAGTCGCGGGTGGTCTTTCAACCAAACTCGGGTTATCTAAATCAGGAAGAAAGGGCAACAGATAGAAACTAAATGGCCGTCTTCTGGACAGCTTGTTTCAAGTAATTCGAGAAACAAACAATCCTTGCGCATTTGAGTATCCAAACGATCTGGCTTGGCTTATAGCCTGTGAAGAGTGCATAGTGTCCTCTATCTGCAGTTCGACGTTGGCGTTTGAACAATGGTCATGTTGGTAATCGTTAGTATCGTACTCGTGGGCGATGCTTGGTTTAGCCCCTTCTTTTGAACAAACGATCTCGGTGGCACTTGGGTGTCGGATCTCTTGGCAGCGCCTAGATCGCTGTCATCCTCGTGCGCGGAGTGGTACCGCGACACAGACTGAGATGTGTATTGGGAAGGACGAGGGTTGCGAGCTCAGCAATAGCCTGGAGGCGGAGGCTACACCGGACGCCCATTTGGTGTCATCGAACGAATGACGAGGGCCAGGTTCCGAGGCCTCTGCTACATGAGGATTGCCAGAGTGAATTGAGGCTCGACCGTTTGAGTGACTTTAAGGAGATCCTGATTGTTGTTGCGAAAGCGATCAAATAATAGTGCAGCCACTCCATGGGACAGCTGAATGATTGCCGAGTAACTCCCAAAGCAACAAACAAGATTGTAACCATTTCCTAGTCACCTAACGCTTTAGTTGATTTCTTCATGACTGAACAGATATTGCTATGGGTGCTTACCATCCGAATCTACTGCTTCGGCTGTTTGTCCGAATTGTCTTACCCTTGCCCTTGTTTCCCCAGACAGGTCTGCCACATTAAGTAAGCATCCGCCCAAGGTTAGCCTGTGGTGATAGGAAGTGGACAATGCTTGATGCCGAGTCGAGTCTGTGGCTGCACTCATCGACGAGACATCCACCTCCTTGTTTTCACGCAACTCGCCAACAGGACTTGTACAAATTTCATCCATTTCCTTCCTTCGAATTGTCAGCGGATTGAGCTTCGATGTCGGCATTCTCAACCGTGAAAGAAGATTTGCCACCTTTTCCAGCTATTTTGCAGCAGCATCTGTAACTCAATTGTACTGTCCTCAGCACCCTCAGTCTCGTCGTGGGGAGCCTTTGCCCCCTCCACCATTACTACTTGGTACGGTGACACGAACAATGAGGTGGTGATGATGGAGGGGGAAACCTAGCAAGGATTCTTGAGAATTTCCGCAAAACATATAGTTCGAGCAAATAATCCGGCCGGGACAGATCCCGCAACACAAGTTGCGAGTAAAGGGGGCCTTTGGCAGCGTATTGGCGAGAAGGTGTTTGATACCGTTGTATCTGGGCGGCAGCATCTGTTCTAGGGTACCTGGAGCAGTCTTGACGCACTTCGAGTTGGGTCCTGTGAAGTTGAACAAATGTTACCACCCAGTGTTTTTCGAAGAAATGACACAGCACAAACGGTCTCGCTGTGCAGAACCTAGAGACAAAACGCGGTGCTCATTAATAAGATTCTGTGCAAGATGAGGGAGTTGAAAGAGGGGTTGAAAGCAGCAAAGTGATTCTGAGGTTTACTTACTATAATCACTGCTAGCTACTTCATTGTGCTGAAGTCGAGTAAGACGATCTTGGGAGGCCAGGCGCCACTCTGGTCTGCTAGTAGCAGCAGCAAGACACCCCGCTAATACAAGCGACATTTTCGGGTCCCGAGGAAAGTCACCCTGTCAATGGCCGAGAGATCAAGGCGAAAACTATTGAATTCGATATTTTTAGACAGAATCCTTCTATTGTTGGTAAGTCGGACGAAACAACAGATTGAGGCAACTTACCAAAGGGTCATTTTACTAGCTATGCATGGCTGGGAGAAGAGCAACAACAGTGTCTGGAACTGCCTAATGTGTGTGAGCTTTGTGACGGAGCAGCTTATTGGTGTGAAATGGAGCAAACCAGAGGCATAGACAAAAGCTTGGAAAGTGCCAAGCTCATAACAAAAGGGATTTTTATGATGGGTGGACAAAGATGCGATGGTGAGTGGGTGTAAGAACCCCAGACGAGGATGGTGCAAAGGATCTCAAAGCTCCCGATGGAAAATGAGAGAAGTCGGGTGACACGAAGTGAACGGGTAATAGTGCTTTAAGGCGATGATGGAGAGCGATGAATGGAAGGAAACGCATAACATTGAAGTGGAAGATCGGCAACGGCTTCATCGCGTCTCGGAGAAAGAAGACGAAAAGAAGAAAGAAAGAGGGGAAAGGATTTTACCTGGACTGCCTTGATGTTGGGGGCCAAGATTGCTAGAGGGTATGGAAGGGAAGGAAAACAGCAACCAAGGCAAGTGTAGGCCAGGTAGAGGCTAACGTTGAGATGGGCGGGTACAGGCTGCTCCAGATGTCCAGCCACCGTTGGTGACCATGTGATTTTGGTGAAGGCATAAGAAGGCGATTGACCCAGATGGCCCAGGAAGAGGTCAATAAAAACATGTCAGACCAACGATTCTGAAGGACATGAATTTATCAGGAAGGAAAACAGTCCACCATATGATATATCCTAAGACTTCTTGCCCAGACTGGACAGATGGCATATAAAGCTGTATCAAAGGTCGAGAACATGAAGGAAGGGAACCAATTGAAGCGGTGAATTTTTTGTTCGGCTCATGTTTAATGATGAAGGAACGTGTTGTCGCTGTGAAGCAGAATTCAAAGCTTGGGGCATTATGAAAGGACTCAGGGTTCAAGATATGGACATTCCTGAGGATGGAACTATTGTCAGGCCATCGCCAGCATCACCATCACCACCACCACATGAGATGCCCTTGCTGGGCAGCCCCCATAATTAGATTCCATTGCTGGGCAGAGTTCTTTCCAGCAGCTTCCTGCAATTCGAGTAAGATAATATCTCCGGCTCTTGTGTCCACCTTCCACGCGGGGTTCATTGCTTCCCAGACGACTGACTCCTAAGTTCATCCTTTGACTCTCAAGGGTGCTCATACTTCAAGGACGCATGGCACCGAAACTCAGTTCGTCGTGAGGTGATGAGTCTTGCAGTGCTTTAGTGAGGTTAGTATTAAGTAAGGATATGATCGGTAAACAATGGGTAATGAGGTGACTTACGCAAGTGCGCGAGCTCTTGTGTTGGAACCGACGGCCGCATCCTGGAACCTCACAGACGTACCAGGTCTGGGTTGTCTGGCTCGGCACGTACTGGGGTACCCTAACGATTGAGCCAGAATAACGGTTCCGCACTCGGAGCCGGCCGCCGAATGGAGCTGCAGCTACAGCTGGGTTGTCGGCGCCAGTGGCTGATGCGGAATGTCCCTCTCCATGAAGTTGTCGATGGTCGCCGCTAGCTGAAGCAGCATCTTGGGCTGTGGTAGTAGTAGGCTGTCCATGTACAGCGTCGGGAGAGGTGTTGACATTCTGGCTAGTTAAGCCCATGGAAGTGGGAGCAGGAAGGTTTGCTTTATTCTTGGCATTGGCAATGTCGGCCTCATCGACGGGGTCTAGCACTTCGTGCTTCATCCTAGATAATCAATCCATCAGTTGGCCGTATCATACGGTAGCAGGGTTATCTACCTATGCAATGCAAAATGTGAGACTAACTTGATGGATCGGTGTAGAGAGTGTGTAGTTATTGTGCGGGTGAGAGGATGTGAATTAGCTAGTTGACTTGGGAGGAAACGCGGGAGGGGTGCGATGGAAGAAAGAAGATGAAAAAGACAGGAAGGTGGCTGGAGAAAGGGGAAAGAAAATTGAAGGTGCAGTCTCGAGGTGAAAATTCTGATTGCAGCCTTCACCCCAAGGAAAGAGGCTGATGTTCTTTGCATATTCAAGTTGGTAATTCGGTGGTGTTGTGAATACATACCGGATCTGGGGAAGGGGACAGCCTCGTGTTCTCTCTCTCTCTCTCTCTCTCTCTTTCTCGGGTGATCTACTTGCTGTTCAGCCTTGCTAATCTGGGTTTGAAGATTTTGAAATTAAGAGTTACTTTCCAGATGAAGATCGAATTCTGGAGGAAGGCCGAAATCCTCCTCATGAAGAAAGTCGAAACACATCATCTTGCTCCTCCGGCTTCCCTCACGAGTCGTCGCCTCATGTTCGTCCCTAGTCTCGTAGAAGTCTTCCCAGTCGTTCACGTACTCACTCTCTTGTCCTCGTCCTCGGGCTCCGCTTCATCTCCGCTGTGGGTGACATTTTAACCCTGTGGCTGTTGTTGATTAACAACAATCTTAAGATGACGTTGTGTCCGGTTGCGATTCTTCTTCCTTCAGTCTTGTCATCAGCTTCTTCAACTCCTTCTGGCGTTCGATTGCGTGCTTCGATGGGTTCTTCGGCGATGTCTTGGCTGACTGGCAAAAGACGTGTGACTTGAATAGGTGAGACGCCAGCGGGCGAGACCATGTGGACACTTGGCCCGCGACCACATCTGGACAGGAAGTACCCGCGCTCGCACGGTTGCGATGTTGTCAGACGGGTCTATGTGCAAAGGACGGGGACCGTCCCAGGCTTTTGAGTCATCTTCGTCGTCGGGTTCAGCATCGCTGGCGTGCTCAGTCTTGTCTCTGTGGACGGCGTTGGTAATATGATATGTCTGCGAGCACGGCATATGTCTAGTCAAGCAGCGACGCCAGCATCATCATCGCCGATTAGCGATAATCTGCGGTGATATCGTCGCTGTTGAGGCTGTTCCGGTTTGCGATGCCCTTTGAGAATGCAAAGGGGGCGGTATAATCTTCCCCATTCCACACTCTTTGTGGGACGGGGTTGTGAGCTTCCTTGCAAGGGAGTTCCCTCACAGCGGAAACCTCTGTGGTACAGAAGATCTGTTTTACAGAGTCTTCTTCTGCTGGCATTTCTGAAAATCATCACTGCCAGTCGAAGGTTCAAGCGCACAAAGTGCCTTCCCCGACACCCACGGTTATATAATTGTCTGCCACTGGGAGACGCAGAGTTATCTCGTGGCCAACTGGTTTGTCCGCAATGGCGATACTTCTTGCAGGTGTCCCACGTGCGAGTCTTGTATGTACTTATCGTTGTGATGGAGAAAGACTCGGTAAAGTATACGATATCTTCGTGATCAATATAACACGATCCCGTAAGCCCAAGTAGGTGGCATAGTATATGTAACGTCCGTTCGTATAGAGCCATCGATGAACTTGGTCAGTATGAAAATAATCAGACCTTGATCAAGCACTTGTATAGGATGGTATTCATCGGGGACGACGCAAGATGATATCCTCGGGGCTTCTTTCACCATATAGTCTTGCCTTGGTGGTGATCAGTCTCGCCGGCAATCTTCTAGGTCTCGGCGCCAGGTAGATTAATATTTGCGGGCGGCAAGAACTTCTTCGGCCATTTCCCAGCGTTAACAAGGAATGTTGTGCTAAAAATCGGTCTCCTCTGACTCATTAAGAGGTCAGAGACTTCGAGGCGTTGGGCCCGGGAAACAACCTCTTGGCCCTGGAGGTAGTGATCCGTGTATGTGCCAAGTTGTGTCTCCGAACGATTTAGCGTATTGCGAGTAGCCTGATAAAACAGTCTCAAATCGCCCGGGTGATAAAATTGTTCTTCTTTATGCATGGAAAGAAACATGGAATTGTAGGGGAGGAAAGTGAGTGATGTAGTGAAACTTCTCAACAGTCTACGAAAGGCAGTAGCCAACCTTCTTCTTCGGCTTTGGATTCGGGTGAATAAGAGAGCCTGCTGACAAGCAACTTGAGCGCTCGCTATTCTTCCGTACCACCTTCCTGATTAGGATCCTAAATTTCCTTTCGTACCCAGCGTGGTAGTGTTCCCAATTGTCAGCTCCAGAATAGCCTGTGTAATAGCTCAATGTGTCTCCTCGTCGAATACAATAAATCCAGAATTTCTTTCTACAAAAGAATGCCTCAAGGACAGGAAGCCCGTAAGCTGCCTTTTGTAGGAAGCTTTGACAGCAAAGTCCACAGGCAAAGCTGTTTCATTCCCCTTGGCGAGGTATTGCTATTCAGAGGCCTTTGAAGTTGGCGAGAACCTGGCTAGAGTTTCCCTAGGTGCATCACCGCCTTGTCAAAGATCCCGAGCCTCTTGTTTTTAAGGGTAAACGCATCTATATATTGCCGAGCGAAAGCCCACTTAGCTGGACGGCGTCGCAACTTGCAATGCCTTCTCCAGGACGCATACTGATGGAACCGTCGGTGGCCAGGAAAGACCATTGATTTTCCTTTATGATGCCGGTTGAGATCAGTATTTTCTTGAGATCCCTCTCTCGTGGTACGAACGAAGGGCCCAGGGTCACAAAATTTGATCGATTTGTGATGAGAGACCATTGACATTATACAATGATTAGTACAATGGGAAATCTCGAGGAAGAAGGCAATTCATAACGAGGTTTTATTGGGTAGCTTTCAGTCTATGATGGATATGAGGATGTGAAACGGGGTAAGACTGTATAATTGAAGTCAGTTTTGGGACTTTCAATGACATTTTAGACTGTGCTTACCACTTAGGGTCTCAGCGCGACGAGGTCTCTGTGGAAGCGAACGGTGAAATGGCAGAATACTATTGTGCCCTTTATTTCAGAGTCGAATGCGTCCCTCACTTTGATCGAGGACGTTGACCGCCATGGTTGACCTTGTAGTGCTGTAACAGATAAAGTCAACAGAGGACCCATTAGGTTCGAAAGACTGGAAACGTACACGGGTGCGAGAGCCCTTGTGCTCATAAGAGCGACCACAGCCAGCGAACTCACAGACGAACTCGTCTCTCTCGTCATTTTCGTCACCAACAGTCGGGGTCGGCGAGAAGCTTTCGCGAGCGGCTCGCTTGCGGGCAGAAGCCATCGCCAGAGGAAGCGCGGCACGTAGAACTCGACGAGCGGCAGGTGTAGCAGTGTTGACAGGAACGACGGACGAGGCGACAGCTTGAGCTGGAATAGGCTCGGGAGCTGTATGAGGTGCTGGAGGAGCGATCTGAGCGACGAGAGGAACCGATGGTGCAGCTGGACCGACTGGCGCAGGAGTTTCGGTCGGATCGGCCTGCTCAAGCATCTTCTGCGTGACCTTCAGCGCGACGCGCAAGACATCGTCGAAGGGGGTGTCTGTGGCGGTGGAGCACTTCTCAAGTGCCTCAATGACTCTTTGCTCGAGGGAAGGTGACATTCTAAGCCTTTTGTTAGCTAGGGGAGAGATGGAATTTGAAAGCACAGACTTACTCGTACCTCGATGGAAAATCTGATTGTTTGTGAGAGAGGAAGAATTTGGATCGCCCTCAAATGGAAAATATGTGGAGAGATATTGTGGTGCAGAAAAAGATTGGATCACTTATTGGTATGAAAAGTTTGAAGTTGAACGAGCAAAACTTGTTCCGCGGAAAGTGAGATAAAGGGGAAGGAGCGATCTAGTTGCTATTGAACTCCATCTTCCGACTCTCTTGAAGTACTCCATGACGGCGATGCGTGGACCACGACCACATTCCAGCCGTCTTTCTGCCGTCTTTCTGCCGTCTTTCTGCCGTCTTTCTGCCTTCTGAATAAACATTCTGGCTATTGTATCATTATCCTGTGCTCCCATGGTTCCTTTGATCCTTGGGCTCGCGGAGTTGTCGAAATATCTCTACAACTGCTGGCTCCAGGCCCCCTGCTGTGAAGTAGAGAGACTAAAGATCCAACCGAGATTGCTTCTCGGGCTTCTTTTAAACCTTCTGCGGAAGGTCCTTCTCAGCCTTCTCCTCAAGCGCACGCATGCGTTGCTCTTGGAGTCGTGGCTAGCCGACATCACATTTTGTTAACGATTAGAAGCTTGAAACCTTCGGTAACAATGAGGTATTAGCCGTTGAAATCAGCTTTGCCTTGTACGCTGTCCACATGTCCTGCAGCTTGGCCAATTGCGCCGCGTACGGGGTAATCACCATCGAGGTGCGCCGGGTGCTGAAACCATCGGTCGCAGTATAGACGATGGATGGAAAACCCTTGCCGAATGCCGTGAAGACAAACCAGAAACTCCTGTTCTCATGAAATTATCTCCATCGCTTCGGTCTGGGTTCTCGTCGCTACAAGGTCTCCCCGGTTGCGACCGACTGCTTCAATCGAGAGGTATTCCTTGTTCCTGTAACCAAAGATAGTGGTGTTGTATTTGGTAACAGACCTTCAACTGGCTCAGTATCGGATTACCAGGCCAAGAGAAGTCCTCTAGAGGGAGAGATCTGCAGTAGAATGCAGTTTTGATGAGGACACTGGCGTTTACTTCTCAAAATGAAGCCAAAGTGGACGTGGCTGGCAGGGCCCGTGGAGTGTGCAAACCCCTTTAGCTTTAAGTGTTAAGTTACGCTAGGGGAGCCATTATGGAAGGCGTCTTTTGACTGGCGTTTGGTGCCTAAGAAAATAGAGGGAACCCAGCATTGCTTGAGGTCGACAACCTGCAGTTATGCTAGATGAGAGAAAAGGTATGAAGTAAAAGCCGGGGTTTTGATGATCGTTAAGAACAAATATTGAAGTAACGTCAGACTCTAGACTAAGTGTAGAGGTTGAGTAGAACTAGCATGCCGTAGGGTATGACGGTCCTTTATACTGCAACACAACCCCGCTCCACTCCTTTAGGCATCTTCTATACGTTAGGGCAATCCATCGATGAATATATGAGCGTACATCATTGCCTCAGCTTCGAGATAAGAGCCCGAGAATATTGATTAAGCCAAGTTACGTTAGCCTGGTTGTATCACTTTCGCATAAACTGTTTCCGCAGCGAAGACGATGGAAACATCTTATAAATGATCTCGGGAGGGGGTTCTTTAAGCCGCCATTATTAACCAAATTGGCTGCCGATAACCGCGGGTAGGCTTATAGGAGACGGCCGCTTTCTGGATACGCTTGGGTGAAGCACGGACATCTCAGTGTCCAGCTTGAGTCTCTGCATGATTGATCCTATATCTGGATCGATGACGCTCGTCAGAAAGTCACATTATGAGCCTTAGAGGCCTCATTGGGCGCTTTGGTCTCTGCTGATACCTGCATACAAATCAGCTATGGCCACAGAGTACAAAAGGTAGGTAACTACTTTTTGGAGATGTTCCTTGCGGCTGCAATGAAACTGGACTGATTACAAGCTGTTGGTGCCCGGCCGTGACTGGGATAGCGAGGAGGGGAAGGAGGAGGAGTGATGATCAGGCTGAGCACAAGCGAAATCTGAAATGCCTGGCTTGTAGAAAGTGACATGCTATTCAGCGTTGTAGCGTAATTTGTCGACCTGAATGAAGAGTTAGCATCCATATTCCTGTGATGTTATCGCGAACAAAAGTCTTCTTACCTTAGCTAGCTATGTTCGAGAATCGGTCTGTGACCTGAATTTCTGCCATAGTTTCACATCCTGTGGTAGAAGATGAGACCGCCCCCGAAGTATTCCACGATGGCCTTGCCTATCGTTCTGTTGACAATGCAGCTGGCCAGATCAGATCGGAGCTCGTCATCACTGGCAGCCATCAGGCAGATCCAGTGGCAACTACCATGCTGTTGGCCTTTAGTGTAATCCTGTTTATCAAAGTCGGCGTGATCTAGGATGGGACTGGAGTTATGTTAGTGGTTATGCCCTTGGTGAAAGGAAGATGGGAAAGGGAACGTACTTGGCTTCTTTGAGTATGATGCCTTTGTTGGATGAATGAATTCCGATCAGGAGCCTTTCGAGATGTCTAGTGAGCAAGGGTATGAGGCAGTCTTTGCCCTTATCACTGCCCATTGCTTTCGCTGGCCTCTATCTTCTTCCTGACGGAGAAAGATGCTCACGATGCGCTGCCCCGTCTCGACGGCCTAGGCCGGGGAGTATTCGTACCGCTCAAAGGTACCGAAGCTTCCAATGGAAACCTGTCAAAACTTCTGCTCTTCCAACCTCTTTTGGGTGTTTCCGTCCATCTTCCTGTCCCTCAAGAAGCGTCTCTTTCCAATTGCGATTTACGACAGTCGCCATCGCCAATGGGTAAAGTACCGAAGGAGAGCCAACAGATTGGGCATTCCAATCGTGAGTTGCTACACCGCGCCTCTGTATTTTCTTCGAGCTATTATTTTTGGCCAACGCGCCGAGTGCTCCAGCTGACTGTTCCTTTTTTCGAAGAAAACCGAGGGTGAAGTTGTCACCACGATGGCCAGAACCAGAAGTATGGGAGGTGGTGGAACCCCGGCCGCTCCTGCCGCTTTTGCCTCTCCTGCTGCTGGTAAAAAACATCGCCAGCTCTCAGCCAGAGCCACCTTTGACCACCCGGAAACTTCGCGCGTCTCTCAATCTTGGCAACCAAGTATCCGATATATCGTCTCCTACTCGTGGCAGTTTTCGTTCCGGTCGCAACAGACTTCCTCTTGCATCTTTATCCTCCCCTTCGCCCGAAGACCGTATCATCCAGGACACGAACTACGAAGCAGACGACTCTGGTCCAGCTTCTCCCGACAAAAGCGAGACCGAAGAATCCGAAAAGTCTGAGAATCTCAAAACAACTCCCAGAGCCAACGCGAAGAAACCCAGCCCGCGGGCAGCTACCGAGAAAATGTCGGCCACCACTCCTTCGGAAGCGACTATCGGCGGCACCACAGGCACCACCGACACCATGACGGACGATGGAGGTACACCAGTCAACGACACGCCGATTCCCCTCGACCTCTCCAGCGCCCGTCGAGCCAAGACCCCCGACGTGGACCTTACAGGTTCGTCGAGTGCCTCCTCAGCTCTCTCAACTCCTACCAAGCCGGCTTCCGAGCGCCGCCAAGCCACCCCGAAGGGACCGAAGCTCATTTCACACAAGGAGGCGAATCAACAGCTTCGTGATCTTATCGTTGCCCACAATGAGAAGGGAATCGAGATAAAGGAGACGCTAGCCCTGTACAAAGACTTGACGCGCGAGGATAACGCGACCCCGATAATCCTCGACGAATGCGTCGCTGTCGCAAACGCTCGTCTTGTACGAGCAATTGATGATGTCGAGGCTCTTGAGGCTGGTCATCCGCCGAGAGTGATGCCCTACCCGGCCGATAAGATTCCCGAGCTTCTTGCCGCTGTCGAGAAAGCCGAGGCCGAAAGGGACGCGTTCGATGCCGAGAATCAGCGCTTGTTCACGCAAATGGCCACGTTGGAGGGGGAGATCTACGCTCTCAAGGCCAAGGTGAAGTTTGCCAGAAAAGTCGAGCTTGAAGCCAGAATGCGAGACGGCATGCCGACTTCTTCGGCGGCCTGCAATAAACCCATTGCGCCTTCTGGATCTGGGTTGCCTGTCGCTTTCGGGACTCCGATCGATTGGACGCCTAAGACTGTTGCACGGTTGGGTTTGGCTAACAAAACACCTGTTGTGGTTACGTCTCCCGCTAGCTCAGAGATCGTCGTCCATCAGACGACTGCGCAGAAGTCTAGAGCGGGTAAGCGAACATCGAGCTCAAATAACACTCAGACGCCCACTAGAAAGAGAAAGGCTCGACACTGATGGTCTGGGGTTTTTGATACTTTCTTGCCCGGGAACAAGAGCTCTTTTAATCCCACTTTCCTACACGACATTGCAGGGTTACACAGTCGCCGAGTTGCTAAGGTAAGTTGGCGTTAATTGTTCGAACAAGCTTTGTCTGTTTCTAATATAAAAGCAGATGCGCCTCGGCCATGACTAAGCCTGCCATGATTAACCCATCGACCACAATTGCTTGTGATCAAGCATGCTTGCGATTCCGTTATCTGTTTTACCACCAAACTTGCCGTCGGACAGTATGTCAATGTCAATACTCCGTTCAAATGTTTGCTCAAGACGCAGCTAACTTGTATTTCATATGCAGGTTGTCCCGGTTTAGCCCCGAATGCTAATCCATGGCCAAATGTACCCCAAATTGCGACTAAATTTGACAGAAGTCTCATGACATGTCCGCGGATCGCGGAGCCGGACGGACCAGGTACCAAATGCCGCTTGCATGATCTTCCGCCAATGCAGACACGGCTGCGGGTTGCGCCGCTGACACCTCTCGATGCATGTTACCATCCAGCATGGCACTCTTCCCCGCGTTCTCCAGACTAGACAGTCTAGACTAGCCGCGCAGCATGCCATTCTACCGAGCTTGGGGGTTTCCAGGCACGCACATTGGGTCGCATATGCGGGGAGGATTGGGGCTAGACATTGGCGGCTTTTGAGGGATGATGATGATGTGTTGGAATATGAATTGGCAAACGGGATACGAGGGGCCACGCATTTGGCTTGGACTGATGTCGTGACTCAGGATATTCAGGGGACGCATTTGGTATCGTATCCATACCCTTTATCGCTTTGCGCATTCTTGTACAGTATTTTCAGGCACGCCCGCCATGAATCAGATCCGTTTTCCTCCTACCCCTTCGCCGTTCTATCTTACTCTTGACTAACGATCCAGTAGTAAATGACAGCTTGGCGATCATTATCGAGCTCGTATCGGCCTTCTATTCACGGACAATTCGTCACTACTGTCCGTCGGATCCCGGCACCACGTTGTCGCTGATAATCTAACTCTAAACATGGAATGAACCCCTCGCATCCTCGCTCAGACTGCGGGGCACAGCTTGAGCTCGAGACTCTACGTGATCCTGAACCACCATCGACGCCACATCCGTGCCGGACCCAACCGACCGAGCTCCGTTTCCCAGAAGCGTCCCAACCGCCGTTTCGACGAACGACCAATGGTCCGGCTAAGTTACCACTGAATAAAACCGTTAGGTCGGGCCATTCTAGCTTCCCTTTTCAAGACACTGAGACTATCACACGGCCCGCGTATCCCCGTTTACGGTGGCACTCTAACATACGAGGTCCACCATTCGAGTCAGCGCCCCTGCTCCCGTCATCTCACTTACTGGAAGGAGGTCAACTTGGCTGCGTAGGATCGTGAGAGCATAAGAAGCAGACGAACCTCTGTCCTGGGTTTCATCTCGAGTCCTTGTCCCAGCAGGCCCCGGCTTCTCAGATCTCTCCAGCCATGCACTTCAAGACTCTCGCCGCCGTGGCCGTGAGCCTGGCCTCCGTCTCCCCCGCTGCTGCAGACACAACGACCACCATCGATGCCAAGTCGAACCGTGGCACCTGGGAGGGATGGGGAACCTCTCTCGCCTGGTGGGCGAAGCGCTTCGGCACCCGCGATGACCTTGCCGACATCTTCTTCACCACCAAGACCACCACTTTCGGCGGCGCGAGCCTGCCCGGTCTTGGCTTCAACATAGTTCGTCACAATGCCGGCGCTTGCAGCACGAACAGCATCAACGGCGAGAGCATGGTGGTCTCGACCAAGATGATGGCGTCCCGGCAGATTGACGGACACTGGGTCGACTACACCAACACCGACCCGGCCTCGTCTGCCTGGAAGTGGGACGTTGATGTGAACCAGCGCACAATGATGCAAAAGGCAAAGAGTCGCGGCGCAAACCGCTTCGAGCTCTTTTCCAACTCGCCAATGTGGTGGGCGACCAAGAACCACAACCCCTCCGGTTCCGCCGACGGCAGCGAAAACATTCAGTCGTGGAACCTCCAGCAGCACGCTGTCTACATGGCCAACATTGCCAAGTACGCAAAGGACAACTGGGGCATCACCTTCGAGACGGTAGAGCCCTTCAACGAGCCCACCGCGAACTGGTGGAAGGCCGACGGCACACAGGAAGGCTGCCACATTGACGTTGCCACGCAGGCGACAATCATCAACTACCTCCGCACCGAGCTCAACAACCGCGGCCTCACGAGCATGTCCATCGCCGCCTCGGACGAGTCCTACTACGACCAGGCCGTCACCACGCTCCAGAACCTCGGCGATGCGGCCCTCAAGAACGTCGCGCGGATCAACGTCCACGGGTACCAGTACGCCAGCGGCGCCCGCGACAAGGTCTACTCCCTCGCCTCGGCGCGGGGTCTCCGTCTCTGGAACAGCGAGTACGGCGAGAGCGACGCGACGGGCGAGAGGCTTGTAAGCAACATGATTCTCGACTTCCGGTGGCTGCGGCCCACGGGATGGGTGTACTGGCAGGTCCTTGACGGTGGCGGCTGGGGTGTCATTGATGCCGACAATGAGGCTGGCACGCTGGGCTCGGCAAACCAGAAGTACTTTGTCTTTGCGCAGTTCGCCCGCCACATCCGCGAGGGTATGCGTATCCTGGACGGCGGATCGGACAACGTGGTTGCTGCGTACGATGCCGCCAACTCGAAGCTTATCATCGTTGCTGTCAACTGGGGTGCGGCGCAGTATCTCAACTTTGACCTGAGCGGATTCTCGCAGGCGTCCACGAACGGTGCTACGGTCACGCGGTGGAGGACGCAGATTGGAAGTGGTGATCGCTATGTGCAGGCGACGGATACTACTATCAGCGGGACCAAGTTCTGGAGTCACTTTGAGACCAAGATGGTGCAGACGTTTGAGATTCCGAACGTCAAGTTGTAGTTGGGTTTGAAGGTTGAATTTGCGGTATTCTTCTCCTAGGATACACGAAAACAGATTCCTTTTAAGTTGACAATAAGTAATGAAACCATATCCAAGCACCTAAGCTCCCTGAAAGTCAAGGGAATGTTGTACGCCTCGCGTCTCGAAAGGGTCAAGGTGTATGAAGACTCAATCTATGTCTGTATCCAACCCAATGCTGAAATGACGAGACTTGACGACATGTCCTTCGTCCACACCATCATCAGACGTCCAAAGGCCCGTCGACTAGATAATTGCTGGTGGATGTGCCGAGTCTGCTTTCGTGTCCGGCATCTAGGCTCAAGGTAACCACCTTCGCGGCTGCGTACCCGCCGAGCCAAAGTTCAAGTAAACCACCACATCAGAGCCGATCTCAAGACCGCTTAGTTGCAATGGGACCTAGTCTTGATACGCGGTGTTGACGTGTACTGCCCACGACACGTCCCCCCGTCTCTCGTACACTGTCACGGCAGGAGACCATTAGCTGTCTCCCTCTACATTTGAAACATCCTGCGGAAGAAGTCAGAGCAGAAGGGGGTATACGAACAAAATTCTTGCACTGATATCTGCGTTCACCATGTGGCCCGTGAATGATGCATTGGTTCGATGCTATGGCGCACATCTAAAGCGTCGTCAGTTCTCACTATGGTCTAGTTGTTTCTTTGATGATTTTCTTACACCCCACATCATCCATGGCTTTTCTACTTTATGAGGAGGTGGTTTTGCCATTGCATCATCTGCGACGTCTGCGAAGTCCGTCATGTCTGTGATGTATTGGACCGGAAGGGCGGCGGTGGCGCCTAGGCCGAGGAGTGTCGTGACGACGAAAAGATTAGGTAGGCGCATTGTGACAATCTTTCAAAAGAGTGGCATAGGTTGAAGTTTTACGATTAGACGGTCAATGATGAGGTGGGAAGGCGGTCGAAGGGCGATTTAAAGACTCCCCGGGCGGCGATCCGGGTTATCAATATTTGGTCACATTTCCGGGGTAGACTTTGAGCCACGAAGTCTCTGGGAGAAACTCTTGCATCACACAATCAAGACCTTGGTAGCTTTCGTCTCGGTGGTCTTCTCTGCCTGTTGATCAAATGCGATGATAGTTGACGTCTGCATAGTGTGACGCGAGACGTCCACCAACTGCAGATGTGGATGGTTTAGATGAGATTAGGTGGTTTTCAACGCTAGATATTAGATGGGCCGGGCAAGCGCCAGATGGTAATTGATGCAGTGGTCGTGTCAAAAGGCTATTTACCTAAAGACCAGGGTAATCACTATGCTCTGACTTCCACTCAACTGCTGTTCCCCAAAGGTTCATGTCGACGCCGGCTGGGATCTTCTACCTGAGCACGATAACTCGAATTCGAACTTACAGTGTGCTAAAGTCTTGCTCCACATACCCGACTTGGAAGGTTTGCAGGGGACTTTGGGGGGTTGATTGGATTTCAGTTGGTGTTGGGCCGTGCCTAAACGAAGCCCCGGCAGCGGCAGATGGCGACCGGAGGGATGCTGATCCCTCCAGCCCAGATGCAGCAGGCTTCCCCGTGGAGAATGTAAGTACATATCCAAACGAATTATGGTTCATCTTAGACACTAAAGCTTGAATGGCGAGCCTACTCTATCAATGGCAAACTTATCTAGTAGACAGCCGGGCGGCATGAGGACGTACTGCACTCGGAATGAGCGAAGTTTGACATACTACAGCCGGTCAGTCTATGCGATGGTGGGGGTGATCATGACCCGTTGGTGCATTACTACACCGGATGGAGAAGTTGTAGGCGCTCAGAAGGTTAAGATTTAGATCTATACTACTCCGTACTCCAATCTTTGGTTACTCCATACATAGGTACTCCGTACTTCGTATGAGAAATGAGATTCTGCCCAGTCGTGATTCGCACACCCTGTCACCTGCCCGTTGCACAAATCCTGTTCCCACCTAATGTCAAAGCTGTGGCAACTATGAATAGCTGTCCCTGGTCGTTTAGGGGCTGGCTGCACTTGTTGACCATTTTACCTCTTTCAGCTTCCAAATAATAAGCAATTGGCTGAAAAACGCATAGAGAAATTTCCAATAGGCTGGGATAATCACCAAAGTCAACTGTTGAATGAGTTCAACCGAAAGTGTGACGCGTGACATCATGCACTTCTGGAGTTCTCAAGGGTGCGACGCGTCTCCCTTGTAGGAGTGGAGGCGCACAGAACGCGTCGATCATTTAGCCTTCTCAGAGGCCCAAGTCACATCTGCTGCAAACCTCTTCACGCCCCAAGTTTGTAAATTGGCGGTGAATTCCGTCCAACTTTGCACACTTTGGAAACATTTCTAAACGCTGGAGCGGTACAACCATGCCTCGGCGTGGAACTTCATCCCGTGGTCGCGGTCGCGGCCGCGGTGGGAAAGCCACAGAAGGGGCCGCGAAGCGGAGCGGGACCCGGATGATGCGGAGAAGCTAGACGGCATCCAGAAGCAGCGGAAGGCAAAGAACAAAGACAGCATGATGGAGGGCCGCGAATGGACGAACGGTATTACCAAGGCGTCAGCGTACTTGATCCCAGTCTGAAGGGTTTGGGATGTGGCTTTTGCAACTTTAGTATCCCCGAGTCCCCTTCTCGTCGCCATTCACATGCGATGGTAGTATCGAGGTCACGTCTGGCAGTGAGGGGCCCGGTGACGGGTCGATACGTCTCTGTGGACCCAAGGACTACTTTGACAAAAGCTAGGATGGTATTTGGGATGCAATCTTTTTGATTCCATTCAAACACGTCGGTACGTAAAGCTGATTTCAAGCGACGTCTTCTTTCTCACTGTAGCCACAGAGCAAGTCGTTTTGCTTCCTAATGCAGCCAAGCAACCTTCAAAGGAAGCGGCATACGAGGTCGTTATCATACCGACTGGGGCAACAGGCGCGTCTTCGATCAAACGGGAGTATCCGAAGATCATATCATTCATTTGGCCTGAGAAGAAGGCAGATAAGGAACTTGGTGGCGTTCTTGTAAAGGACGAAAAGGGTACATATGTCGATGTTCTCAAGAAAGTGTTCAATGAGAAGCTCGGAGCCTTTGACAAGTCAGTGATTGACATAACAGAGAACACTGACGCGAAACTCACCGGAGTGGAATGTGTTCTTTCACCGCCAATGGGCTCGAACATTGAATCCAATAACGGCGGTACGGTCAACAAATCTTTCCTCGACGATTGTGAAAGTCAGCGTAATTACTGTCGGTGATGCTGACAGCCACAGGTTCCGTTCACTTTCTGGACGAAGGAGTTCTCTTCATTTCTGAGCTCCACAGGATCTTTCTCTCATTCAAGTCACTCGATCGTGTCATGCTTATTCTCGCTAAAGATAGCAAGGGCAAAGTCGTGGGCCTCGACGTGGTCTGCAACGCATCAGAACCGTTTTACGGGGACAAAGAAGAGAGCAGTGGAACGACTATGATCAAATTTGGGCAAGTTGATGATGCTCCCTTGAAAGATTTGAAGGGGTACATGGAGATGAACGATTTGCAGGTCATGGTGTGTGAGCAGTCGTTCTATGACTATAAAAATGGCAAGTCGATGACCGGGTTCATGCCTATGATGGGGGCCTGAACCTATGGCCTCAGACCGACCCTAAGCTTGACTGGTGTAAACATTACCTAGCTCAACACGGGGTTGTCTGAGGGTGGGTTGTAGCAATCACACGGCCAGAGATTCGTGAACGGCTTAGCAGACAATGTTCTAGATGACTTCGTATGAATATTAAACCCATCCTACGGCATATATATTATCCCTCATCCCTATATGCCATTCAAACTCTCTACCGTGAGAAAAGAATACTGCGGTAACTGCAATGCGTCATGGATTCATATTGTGCTGCAACTCGACACCCGGCAAACTTAGTGCCATCTTTCGTTCGCCTGAAAGTGGCCGTACTTATGGATCGTCGATTTTGGATAAGTTGGGAAACACAGACTTAGAAGCACCGGTAGGAGCTCACTAGCAGTGAAGGCAGTGAGTTAGCAACGTGGCTGAACGTGTTTCTTTCTAGTATTGAGTGGAAGTTTCAGAAAGCATGCACAGGTACGTACTCTTGTCGTTGAAGTTCCAGTTGGAATCGGCGAGGTTGTAGATGCCAGGGTTAACAATGTTGACGATGGAGGCTCCTGTGCATCCAGCGTGTCTGTGCGTGTGTTAGTGGAACCAGACATTCAGAATAGATAAAAGGCATGTACAATGTTAGGAAAGACTTACTCCCAGATAGTGCAAGAAGTTCCCGCATCAGGGCCAAGCGACGAAACAACATCGTTAAAGCCGTTGCCCAAGTCATCTAGATAGAGTCTGGTTTCAGCAAAGTACTATATATCGATCACCGAGATCGCACTTTAGATAAGGCTCCGCTTACAGCATTGACCAGTGTTCGACTCCAAGTTCTGGCAGCGGCCGGAGAAGTTGGCGTCGGAGCAGATGTACAAGTGCGTAATAGCCTGTACGGTGTCTCCCTTTGGGTTGTCAACGCTGTCGACGGGGATGTTGACGGGTCCCTTGTCTTCGTCTCGGGGGATCACGCCGGCGAAGGCGGCGCTAATCAGGGTGACGATGGTGATGATGGACTGCATTTTGGCTTTTTCAATGTTGAAGATGTGATAGAGCTTAATGAGGATGAGATGTAAATCGGAAGATCAGCGGACTATGGTGGCTGTGAACTATAAAGGAGTCAAGAGAAACGGGCGTGGCACGAAGAGATTAATATACCTCCCAAGATCTTATCTTCACCAGCTTTCCTTAGACGTTACCTCATCGGGACCAATGTCATGTGAATAGTCTCAGAAGTTCAATCTTGAGCCTAAACCGACTATTCCGAAGTTATCGTCTTCAATCTGGACGGAAATTCCAATATCGACGCTGACTTGCATCTCATGTCTTGGCCAGCTTCCCTTCTGGACTCCGGCTACAACGCCCGCGCTGACTTGCATCCAATATTCGGAGTCGCGCATGATCCATATTTCAAGTTACCAAGTTGTTTCTTGGTATGTCAGTATAGCCTGCTTACGGTTTTGTAGCACCTGCCACCTGAAGGTGGACTCTGGCGGTTGGCCCGTTGTTGTCTTGTGAGAAATCCTGCGTACCTAGTCGCCTGAGGCCTCGCTAGAGACTTACCGTTTTGAAGATTTATGCTAACAGAAACACTCGCGGAGAAGGTGATGACTATGTGCGATTTGTGTTCAGATCAACAGATTTCAGACTATCCAAGACCATTGATCTACCACAAATTGGCGCTCAGGGCAACATACTGGCTATACCAGTGGCTACTGTCATGTTTCCGAGCTAGATTGTAGAGCTTGCAGTCACGCAACTTCGTGTAGACCCAAATGAAGTTAGGCAGGTACTTATGTTGTTTAACACTATTCCTTGAGTCTGAGCAAGCTCTCAAGATACTGGCCGTCCTTCGAATTTTGTCCAGTCCGTAGGCTGAGGTGACAAATCTAAAAAGGACAGGTCGATGGCCCAAAACAAGGCGCACGGCTTGCATGACAGTGTAGCTGGATTGGCGATGCCTATCTCGGCCTCGGAAAAGGTCATCAGAACAAGCCTTTGGAGAAGGAGTAGATACTGATTGGCCACCTAGTAGGATATCGGGCTGAATGTTATGCCAAAAAGGGAATGACACTGTAACGTCGATTCACATAAGCAACCAGCTATCTCAACACGTGTGATGACAACATGGAATTTTCTCTTATCCCCTCTCGCTCATGCATGGCGAGAATGACGGCTCATATGCACTGTGACCCTCACTTCGGGAAGGTCGGTCTACCCGTGCCGCATGCAACTCAAATACCCGGCACGGGCTAATGAGCACCAGATCCGAAGTACAATGCCACAGACGGGCGGAAGTCCCCGGATACAAGCTCACATATTTACTCATTCGGCCACATCTCGGGTTATTGGTGTGCCCCGTGTATGCATCCAGATTATTGGAGCCGGCCGAGGGGCAAAGGCAGACTCGAAATAGCAAACATCACGACCTGGAAGCCTGATTCTGTCCCAGCCTGCTTCTCTCACCTGCAGAGTTGTATACATTCGGCTACCTACCGCAAGTCGTTTCTGTCAAAGTCCTGCATTCAGATATAATACTCAACTTGGCTCAGTCTTTTGAGCGATTCGGAATGACTCAAAGGGCAAGTACATAGAGACAAATACAGATACTTGTGTGAGCCATGTGTTGTTGGCCTAGCTCCAAGAAAGGATGATGGAAATATTCTTCACGTCTAACAGTTAGGCGCTAAAGTGTACTCACAAGGACCTGTGTTTCCAAGACTGACCTTCTTCACATCTCTATGAACGCGAAACTCTTATACGTGATGGTATGCATCAAAAGGTGTCAGGCGGATGCACGTAGTCAATTATGCTTATGCCTGAAGGTAGAATTCTGGTGTCTGATTGTTGTTCATGATGGGCAGTTGGTTGTAGGGATCAGGGATTAGCAACGTCACTATCTGCATATGCGCGTTTAAATACTGCTATCTTCTTTAACTTTGATAGTTAGAAACTATCGTCTACCAAGGTCGACGAAAAGCTAGAGTTTACAGTTTCTGGGTTACTGCTATGGACAGGCAGAAGAGAGTACTTTACGGGGTTCTGAAGACGACAGGGTTTCTCAAACACCCTTTTAAGGGGCGGGGCACTACTTACTTTTGTATGCTTATATACAACCTAGGATGTCCATGTGGACAATCTGGGAGGGTCCTTAAACAGCTCATCAACAGACTCAAAGATGCAGAGAAAAAGCAAAAGGATAGTCATCCGCGTGATGCATCCGCCGGTAATCGAAACCGGGTCCCTTGCTAACCAGGTGTTAGAATGGAAGGCAAGGATGATAACCACTACACTACAGATGCGGATGTTGGTGTTCGGGAAACACCGGGATTGATGCCGGGTGGACACAAAACGCCACATATGTAGCTAGCTAGTCCCACATCCGCGTCTTTGTCGTAGGATCCACAACACGCGAGCTTTGGCTTGTTGAGGCGGGCGATGAACCGGAGCTCGTTACACAACAGAGGGACTGGGCACCCATGAGTTCCTCATATGAAGCGATGTCACACTCGATCAACTCTAGAACGTGTTTGAAAGGACTGGCTATCAATTGATCAAGATTCTTTGATTCGTGGGGTTCCAGTCAAGTATGACTCCTAATCAGTCGGTCCATGTTCTCCTTGGCTCGTTTTCCTACTCCGAGTCAGGCTCATCCGCCAAGTCAACCTGGAAAACACCCTTCGAGAACCTCACAACCAAGGCCCTCGCTTCCGTCTCCGGGTCCTCGACATTCCATCGCTCCTTGTCTGTTTCCCACGTAAACTTGGTTATCCGACGGCTCTTGCCATCATCTCCCGCAGGCTCGACCGTTATCTTGCCCAAAGTGTATCCAGTCCAACTCCGGGCAAAGACGACACTCTCCTCGCCCTCCTTCTCGAGGTGGAGAATGACCCAGCGGTCGTCCATGTCCTGCGGTGTGAATCCCTTCTTCATGCGCTCCCACCCATCCGCGGGGATGATGCGCGCCTCGTCCCAGCTGGACGAGGCCGGCTTCGCGGGCTCCCACTTTGCGTTGTCGTCGCTCATTGTTTTGGTAGATTTCTCGGTGGTGCGGGGTTGTACAGTGCAAATCTGTCGGATGTCGCACGCAAGGATAGATTGGGATTTGATGAATCGGTTTAGGCTGAAAACACGACCAAGCTGGGCAATTGGATGCTTGCTCCGAGTCTGTACAACCTCAGATATATGTAGTTTGGATTGGCGAAGCTGCTGCCTGTTCGTTTTTGAGTTCCTCCTCCTCGTTGCCTGCTGATATTGACGCTTATCCCCAAGTTCTCTTACGAGATGACTCAGACGAGGCATTCTTGTCAGCCTCACCCAGCTTTTCTGCATCTTGCCGTCACAATTGGCCAACGCCTACAAAGCTAGAAAAATTGTTCTATTGATCAGTATCGATGGACAGAGTGATGACGGCCTATCTCCGAGTTATGAAGCGCGACCAAAGACAAGTTCAAGCTGACTGTAGATCTTCCTGGAAGCAGCTTGTTTTTGCGCACCCCGACGATTCAGGGGGCACTGGCGCGGTTTTAGTCATCAATTACTCGGTTCATCCATAGCCCATACGTCGTCAGGAGACTGAGTCCATGGGCTTTTGGCAATGTATTCTGTCCAATCTGGGACTTCCCAGATCATCGTCCGGGCATGCCTTCCAACGGCCAAATCTTCGGCTTCTTGTCAGCATCGGATCCGACGATTGTGGGGTCGACGTCGAAGGCGCAATTCTGCAGACTTCAGCAGCGCCGTAGACTTGGCGAGAAAGACGCCTTTACTTGACGAGGCTTGATGCGTGTTCCAGAAGAGGGACAACTCCAAGAGCTTTTGCCACGGCGAATCCCCTTCTGGTTCTGGACAATGGCCATAGCTCCAGGAGCACTAGGTAGGGGGCTTTCAAAGACGAATCCTTCTCGTCCCGAATGACCGGGACTAACGGCAACCTCAGAATGTCTCAGTAAGGCCCTCTCTTTGGTTCCCGAAAACCTGGGTTCTCTAGCGGCGACATCCAAGCTTCCAGACCTTTCCCAGCACGGCCTTTCCACAGACCATGAGAAAGGACAGGAAATGGTTCCTTATTGCATCGATGCTGCCTCGACTCACTTATGGCCTGAGACAGGCACAGCTACCATGCCAAATGCGGGCGACGTCGTCCGGAAACGGGCCGCTGTGATCTAGCCAGTCTCTAGTAATCAGCACCGCCTGCGATGGCGTTAGGTCTGGTCAAAGCGCTCGAGCAGTTTAGCTCGGTAGGCCACGCGAGAGGTGTTAGTTGTCGCCTCGCCGCACAAAGGGTCGATAGTGTCTTGGTGGCGTTAGAGATATCGTCCATCGGTAGCCCCGCGGTCACAATGAAGGGCCCGAAGAGTTGGATGGCATTATGAATGAGTAGAGCAAGACATAAAACCAGACGAGAATACCATGGCAAATGTTTACAATGACCAAGAGCATTGACTCCAATTCAATCCTTCTCTACTATCCAAGGTCTTCACGAACCGGTTTTCCTATTCAAGATGGGTATCTCTTCATTGACCACGTTTCTTTTCTCATCCACATTCTTTCTCCAAGCCCTTGCCGCGCCTGCCAATGCCGGTCCAACGGTCACGATCGCTTCCGGCGTCGTGATTGGCACCACGGCCCAACCCGCATCAGCAACCGGAACCGCCAATGCCTACATGGGAATTCCATTCGCCAAGTCTCCCCCGGAACGGTTCTCTCCTCCCCAGGCCGCGGATGCATGGTCTTCTCCACTGTCGGCTCAAGCTTTTAAGCCAGCATGTATCCAACAGTTCCTCGAGCAAGGCAACGCCCGAACGTTGCAAAAGGCCTATTTCGGAAACCCAGCTGGGCCACTTACAGAGGAGAGCGAGGACTGCTTGTACCTCAACGTCTTCACTCCTACGGGTGCAACATCTACCAGCAAGAAGGCTGTGATGTTTTGGCTCTTCCCTGGTAACCTTCAGTTCGGCACTGCCAGTCTGCCCATCTACGACGGAAGCTCTCTTGCCGTCTCCCAAGATGTCGTGGTGGTTACGATCAACTACCGCACCAACAGTAAGGGCTCTTCACTCATAGCCAGTCAACAACCCTGCTAACCAGCTTCTGTAGTCTTTGGCTTTTCCAACTCCCCTGAAATTGCAACCGGATCTCAGAACTCTGGATACCTTGACCAGCGTTTCGCTCTTCAATGGGTGCAGAGCAACATCGCTCAGTTCGGCGGCGACCCCTCGCGCGTCACCATCTTCGGAGAATCTGCCGGCGGTGAATCCGTCAAGCAGCTTCTCGCAAACCCGCCCAGCCCTCTGCCCTTCTCGGCTGCCATCATGGAGTCACAGCAGTCCCTCCTTCTGGGTTCCGGCTCCGACAGCTACTCCAAGGTCCTGAAGAACTTCAACTGCGCCGACATTAAATGCCTTCGTCAGGTGTCAGCCACAGATATCAAGGCATACATTGAAGCACAGGCCCTTGTCTTCCCTCCTGTCAACGGTGACGGTACATCCATCAACGATGTCCGCAATAGCATCTCTTCCAAGAAGTGGCCCAAGATTCCCGTCATCATGGGTACCACCCTCAACGAGGCTCGTGTTTTTCTCGCCGTTGAGGGCATGAATGACGGAGCCTCAGCCTTGAGCTCGGCCCTCTCCCAAATCGGCGTCACTTCCTCTATCACGAAGGCCGCTATCACGACCTCCTACGCCGCAAAAGCCCTCAACGACCCCTACGTCGTCGCTGACAGGATCATCACCGACGCCATCTTCACTTGCACGACATCCACCCTGGCAAGCTACCTCGCCGTCAACGGCTACACTGCCTACCGCTACCGCTACGATCCGGTCTTCGCCTCTACCAGCATCTTCGCCAACCCGGGCTCATACCACACGAGCGAGATCCCCTCCGTCTTTGGCACATATCCCGCCTATAGCAAGTGGGGTTCCGCAACTGCGCAACAGACGAAGCTCAGCTCTTACATGCAGGGCGTCTGGGGCGGCTTTGCCAAGAACCCCAGTGGCGGTGTCGGATGGCCCAAGATTGGAAGCGCTCTTGGATTTGAGCTGGGACTCTTGGGCTCTGGATCATCGAGTGGTGTGACGGTGTCGGCGACGCTTGCGGCGGATTACCCCTGCGCTCTGTACGCGCCCCTCACGGAGGCCCTTGGCTTTTCTTACTAGTTTTCTTGAATTTTATTTGGAGTTGGGAGTTTAAAAAGGTTCAAAGGATGAATAAAGGCAGTCTATTCCCGGTGTCGCGTTGACAAAAGAACTAAGAGAGGACCCAACAATGGTTCTAGATTCGATATTTGTAAATAAATTTCCAAAGGCCTTGCCATCACTTAGTTCATTTGTCTACCAAAACAATTTACAACCGACTACAACCAACTTTGAACATGTTGACTTTGCTGATAACTATGTCTAACTCACGGTGTTCTTTTCCTTGGCCACCATATATCAATGTTCTTCATACTCTCTTGACGACCGACTTGACTGACTTTCCCGGCACCAATCAGGGGCTAATCAAGAACCGGAAGGGGGCCTTTTGAGAGTCGCACCTCGGAATTTAGCTGTCAATAGGATAAATGTTCTCGCATCAAGCGATTCCCCAACTTCTCCGAGCCGCCCCGCGACTCGGCACCTGTCTAAGCACATCAAACCTTACCAACTGGCACCACTCACAACCAATTTCCACAAAAAAAAATTAACATCAAGACCAAATCTACCGAGATCTGGGCAAAAACATGACAAGAGTGGGATTCGAACCCACGCCAATTACTTGACTAGCACCTGAAGCTAGCGCCTTAGACCGCTCGGCCATCTTGCCTGTGATTGGATAGATTCTCTGAGCTGGCTTAGGCTCCATAGTTCGCGTTACGACAACCGCAGAATTGCAAGTTGAGGGCATAGCAGTGAAGCGTTGCGAAATGCCAGTGTAGGCCCCCAACAAACCTTTAATTCGAGATGGAATTAACCAGGCGCAGAGTGCGGTGTCAAATGTGGCTCTGTTCGGGCCTTCGGGGAAAGCCTCATGTGGTCTCCGCCGTACATGGTTGCCTTGAAACTGTTTCTATCTTGCTTGAGCCCGCCTCGTGTCTTCGAACGGTAATTTTAAAAACATGAGTAATAAGCGAGTGTTGGAAACAAAAGCATTTTGGTCGTCATCATAAGTTAAGCAGACCCTTGGCAGGTCCTGCGCTGAAAGTAGGGGCTATTTCACAGCTTTCTTCTCCTCCGGGATGTTTGCCAAGCTACCACAGGTGCGAGAATACGAAAATGTCGTTTGACTCAGCTCCTTATCTTTTAAGCCTCTATGCGTGACAATTGTAAAGTGTCGAGTGTCCAAGATCATCGGCCTTCAAAGACCGGCTGGTGGTTCTATTCGGCGCAAGTCAGTTTCGAAACAATCGAAATTTCGAGGCCAAGTAACTGTAAAGGTGTGTTATTCAGGGCCCCGGAGTTTCTACAGAGCCCCTTTGTTCGGCTGATGTTGACTTGAGTTGTTACAATTATCAGGAATTTCATCCTAAGCAGAACATCAAAACGGGCTTCAGCAATAGACTGGAGTCTCTTAGATGTCGTGCTTGATCGAGTTTGAGATTGATCCAGGCTTGCCTCCCATGGTCATTGAGTTTCTTCTGGTTACCATGACAATTAGAGTGAACTAGCCCGCATGTTCCAGAAACCCCATTAACATCAGGATATGCGAAGGATGGCTCCCGTATAAGGATAGGCCAATTTTAATAATCGAAGATCGACTAGCCAGTTGCTCATGCTCATAGCCACGACGTCACCCTCCACCACCGTTGAATTTTTTGGCCGTTGAATTTTTTGGCCGTGCCGAAACAGTGTTTGCTGTAATAAACCAACATCTGCCTTGAAGGACTATTCCCTCATTTTCGCTGTTCATTCCCAAAACCTTTCTGCTTGCACAAAATCATCGACTTTGTGTCACTTGCCCATTGTGACATGCCTATTACCAACAAAAAGGCAGTGCCACCAAGTCACTTCATAACAAACGACATTCAGATAGGACAAGACTTTGTTCAGCTCAAAGACTTGCAATGATGATGCAGTATTTAACAAGCTCGAAGCTGCCAACTTCGTAAACTTGGCTGCTCAACTCATATCACCCTACAAACCAATCACACAACTGACTATTTTCAGTGCTCCCAATCGCATCTCAATGGCTCAGTCATATTTCGAAAGCAACATTGCCACCGCCGCCCTGAAGGATCAGCTCAGAGCGGTGCAGGCAAAAAACGCCCCGAACAAGCCTGAATGGGCTAGTTCTCAACAGAATGAGCAGCCAGTCTCGACCAAAGGACCTCGACCGCTGCGCCTTGTTGAGAAGTACAACAAAGAAAAAGACGACTCTTCGACCAATCACAACACCCCAGACACCAGTACCATAAGCGCTCAGAAGACCGAGATTACCGCCGAAAGCCCTCACTGCAGCGGCGCCATCCAGGACGACTTGCCGATTCAGATGGTGGACGCCGAGCATGGACAACAGCTCCCGGAGAATTCTTATCGGCAGAACTCAGAGCACCTCCATGTCCACGAGAGCGCGAGTACTGATCATGTAACTGACCAAGGTAGGCAGCTAGCCGAGAATGGAGAACTACCGCCAATCAAGACATTCTGGGAAAAGGTCGAGTCTGCGCTGTACCTCTACCAGTTGCGAACCCATGGCGACAAGGAGGAGCATCCCTTCTACCGCGCTAGGGCCAAGGCTTTCTCTATGCACAAAGCAGTTGGCATTCTCGCCGCCTTTTCAGTGAGTCTGTTCTTTTCAGTCGGAATATTTCTTGCCAGAGATAATGTTCAACCTCCTCTGAATCTCCCCTTTATGTTCACTTGGATCGCTATCAGCGGCATTGTAGTCCTCTGGGCCATAGTGGCTATCATCCTGATTCAGTGCTCTAAAGGAGGGCTCAAGCACGACTTGGAGGTCGCTAGACTGGGGGACGCTTTCAATGCCACCACTTCTGGGGACGCTGGTTCAGAAGGATGCTTCGTGAACGGTGAGCGCTATGAGGGCCAGCAGCCTCCCAAACTGGACTCCATCACAGATGAAGCTCATACGCAGGCAAACGGCCGAGAAGCCCCGGAGGCTTCTGGTTCTGGTACGCACCCAAGTCTTGATGTCATCCGTGAGTCGAAAGGTAACTGGGCTAACAACACAAAAGAGGAGTTATCTAAGTTGTCGGTAACATCAGAGTAAGAGCGTGCTTGGAGCAGCGATCTAGGTTGGCAGGGTGAGTGCAAGATAGAATTTGCTAGAAGAATGAATATACAATTGGCATATGAATGTTTCCTCTATTCATCCCATGTTGCGATGAATACTCGAGAGATCCGGAAAAACTGGTCACCGACATTTGCTTCGAAGCCCCCCAGATCACCTTGATATTCAGGCATGGTCGCAAGTGTGCCAGAAACCCTAACTTTCTATGGGACTATAAACACTAGTGAACTTTACCTGTATTTTTCAACGACGGGCAGGCGCGTTCGGGCTGTTATTGGAGTTCTATTCAGGAAGGAGCATTCTTGGCAACGACTTACATCCTTAGACGGCGTCGAGACCGAATGGACTGCAGAAGTCAGACCACGCAAGTTCCGAAGAGCTTGAGTCATCAATTGCCGGATGTTTCTGTACGGCCCGAGGTCATTTCCCCAGATTATTGATCACCCCGTTGCTGCAGATATTTTGCACACTTTCTTGCCTGACCACGTGTCTGGGAGATGATGTGCATCATAAAGTTTGAACGGATCGATTTGAGGTTGACCAAATGCGGAAAACCTATCGGAGACATGAAAATAAACATTGAATTGGGTTACCGTAACTAAGATGCTGGAATGGTGGATGATTGCTGATGGCAACTCAGCATTCCTGTGGTGGTTTGACCTTGAGTCAATGTGGTGCAGGATTTAACCACGGGCATCTCTTTCTTGTCTGCTCCTTTTCCTGACGATAACTTCACCTTCTTCATTTGTGGAAGTCTCCCGGTCTTTCCTTCCCTCTGGGAAAAAAAAACTTGCTCACCGTGGACCCGTGGTGTTGTGGGTGCCTGGAAGCGGACGCGTCTTCAACTTTTGAACCGCGTTAACCTTTTCACCCAGAACAACATGGAATAATATTCTCCTTCTCACAAAGCCAGTACTCTCTTTTTCCCCATCGCCAAACGGCTTTTCCTTTTGTTTGTCACACTTCTCGGCTATCCATTCTCTTCCACAACATCATCTTTGTCATTCATTCCCGGTCACACTCTTTTTTCTGAATACCCTCATCTGGGAGAATCACCACAAAGCATTCACATCCACGAGCAAGAATGTCGCTGCCGCCGCAGGCCTCGTTCAGCTCTGCCACGACTGCGGTTGCCAGTCGTGGAGCGGCGTACCCTTCTGTGGAGGAATTCACCTCCTTCAAGCTGCCAACCAAGCCGAGAATCATCAAGACTCTCACTAGCGATGACGTCTCAGACCTTTCCGACGAGCCGGATAATACGCCTCGCCCTGCGATGAATCCCTCGACGCCCATTCCTCCTTCTCCCATGTCTTCTGAGGAGTCTGATCGGGTCATCGACCTCAATTACACTCCGCCCACCGTCCGAGGCAAGAGCATGATCTTGCCCCAACACCCTCTCAGCGGCAAAGCCAAATCTCCTCGCTGGCCCTTCCAGAACGCAACCCCCCGCACCTCGACAATGGTGCCCATTGTCCGAAGCTTCACTGGAAATTCCAGCCGATTTGACCACCATCCTAGAGATGACTGCAACCCAGTGGTTGAAATCAGTGTCACCGAGTCCCTGGACGAGTTCCAGATCAACCATCCCAACGGTCGCTTGCTCGCGTCTCACCCTCATGGCCTCTCTGTTCACGAGGCTGGACGCAACCTGACCGGTCGCAACTTGGCCAACATTCCTACCCTAGTCGAGAAGCCCGGAAAAGATGCTCAGTCGAGCAAGGCCATTCCTTCCAAGCACCGACAGAAACCCTTCAAAGTCTTGTACCGCCGTTGCCAGAGCTCCCAGCTCCTCAACCTTCAGCTACTCCGACGTCGCCAGGACAAGCGAAAGAAGGATTTCGAGACCGACACCACTTGGTACCAGCGCATCAGTCTTGACGACAAGATCTACATCGGGTCCACCGTCCTCACTCTCTTCTTCGTCACCCAGACGGTTGTCTCCATCACTGTCAGTATGACTATGGTAGCTTCCCAGATGAGCATCCCTTACTTCGTCGTTGTCTGGGTCATGGTGAGCCTCATCGTCATGATCTTCACTGTCGTTATGAGCCTTCGAATGCGCTCTTTCCGCAAGAAGACCAATGCTCTCATTGACGATGAAAAACGAATTCGCTCGACTACCTTCCCCAAGCTCTCTCATGAGGGTCATCTACACCTGCCTGCTGACGCTGCAGAGATCGCTCATCGCCGTCAGATTGCCGCTGCGCTTGCGAACGAGCAAGCCCATGCAGGTAGCTCGGCTGAAGAGTCCGCAAAGAGTTCCGATGGAACCGTTGTCGACCAGGTCACCCAGCCGCCCGCCGTATTCGACCCTTTCGCCCCGGCTTTGCCCCGCGACACCAGCAGCGTCTACCTCTCAGCCAGCGGCACCTCTTCCCAGGGAACCCAGGATTCCAACGACACAGCTTGGCAGAACATTGACCCTGTGGCAGTCGGAAACTCCCGCACCAGCTCCATGACGGCCGTCGTCCCTGCGGCTCCTGCCAACCTCCCGGCGAGCAACCAGGGATCGAGCTGCTAGGATCGGTGCGAGTTCCGGATGCAGCCTTACGGCAGAATTCCCATAATGAAATATATTTGAGGAGCCACTCTTCGGTGTTTTGGGAGTCCCTATTAGGGAAAGGACATGGGTTGTTTGACACGGGAGTCTGGATGGAACTTGGAACGGCGATTGATTTGTGAAGATACCCCCTTCCGCGCGGCGATGGAAACGGTTTCGGTTTATGCGAGGTTTTGATGTAGGAATATGGTTCAATCATTTCTAGGCAAGGCAGTCAGACATTACTTTCAATGCCTTGTGTTTCGTTCGTGTCTCTTTCGTCTTGCACTGCCTTTCTCGTAGGCTTGTGCGTGCCTAGTTGAGATCTGCGCTCCTCTTCCTGATTCGCACTTATTAGCCCAGAATGAGACGACCTGCGTGATCAACCTATCTGTTGCGCTATATTTAGCCAACGGCAGGCAAAGATAGGCCTGCAACTTTTTATTTGAACCAACTTACCATGTCAAGGTAACGTTGGCGGCTACGGTGCATGTTGGACAAGCAGGCTGGCTCGCTGCATAAGCTTCATTGGCTGCTGGTTGCCTATCTGCACCTCGCCTGTTGGCCTGCGCCTTTCTTGCAAGCATCTCGTCTTTCTCCCCTCTCATTTAAATTCCTCTTCATCTATCTCTTCCTTTTTATTACACACAGTCACCTCAATCTATCCCACGACTTGAGTGTCTGACTTGCTAAGCCACATCATCTTCTTTCACATCCCCGACACCGCTGTGTCTCATTCTCAGCCCGGGGAGCGCCCCTGGTAGAATCTTAAAAGACGACGATGCTGACAGAATGGCTGGAGAGACTGAGAAGAAAAGGAAGGAAGAAATACCCAGCTGCCGCGGTGAACTCAGCAACTTGGTCCTCCATAGCTTCCTCGAGTGTTTCCCCGGTTAAACCCAGCAAGGCATTGTCCCACGCAAACACATACGGGAAATGTCGTCAGTCAGCGGACGACTCAAACAGAGTCAGCAGCATTGGCGGCCTTGCACCGTCGACTTTATCGGTGACCTCTTCCAGAGACCAGAGCCCAGAATTGACGAATCTATGGGAGAAGGCAAACGAGACTCTGCGGAACGACCCCGATACTGAAAAGAGGGAGCTGGCCCAACAGTATGCCGAGATTCTAGCCTTGGAACTTGCTGAGCCTGAGGCTGGGCCTATGGACACTGATCCGGCTCATCTCAAACAAGAGAGAGTGGCAGATCGTTTGAACGCTAGAGTAGAAATGCTTAGCCGCGAGCAACTGTCCATCTCTGTCGGAAGTCGTGAGCTTGATATTGAACCCTTGCTTCGAAACGTATCGAAAAACGTCGTTGCAGCGAGGGACCTCATCAGCAGTGCTGCTGGCGCCGACCCCCACGCCGCCCTAGCATGTGCCGGTGGACTCGTCATTCTCACCGTCAGTAATGGGGATGAAATATTGGCATGAAATACAAACTGACTTATCGGCAGTTTCTTATCCGCCCATTGGAGCAGAGAGAACACATACTTAGAGGGCTTGAACTGACCTCTTCGCTCATCTGTCGGTACTTTGCTATGGAGCAGGTCTACCGTTCAAGGGCTCGCCTCGAGAGTCTGTCAGCTGAATCGGCCAAAAAGCTTGTATTGGATTTGGAACAAAGTCTGATCAAGCTTTACACAAACATCATCGAGTTTCAGGCCTGAGCACTATGTTATCTTCATCGAACCCGATCGACTCGGTTCATCAAAGATATGTTCAGAGGCGACACGTGGAAGACCCTCATTGGAGAGATCGAGAGACTCGATGCTCACTGCCGTGCTTTCGCAAACCTCGTCACCGACGAAAAGATTCTCACATTCCTTAAATCTCATTCTGAGAAAGTCGAACGAGTGATCATCAACGTCAATACGCCCCAACCCGTCTCATTCGATCTTCTTCGAAGAAGGACAGCGCTTCTCCGCACCCTGTACGCCTGCCCTTACCGCGATCGCAAAGACATCAATCCAGAAAGAGCACCAGGGACCTGCGAGTGGTTCACTGAGCATGACTACTTCCGTGAATGGATGTCTGCAGGAGACGCGAAGATCTTGCGTGTTTCGGCAGATCCTGGCTGCGGCAAGTCAGTACTCTCGAAATATTTGGTAGACGAAATTCTTCCAAGCACCTCATTTCGAACGACATGCTACTTCTTTTTCAAAGATGATTTCGAGGATCAGAAACTTGCTTCCATTGCGATGCGTTGCATTCTACGGCAGATCTTCGAGCAAAACCCTGACTTGATGGACGAGAAAACTTTGGCAAGGTTCGAGGCAGCCGGCGACAATTTATGCAACTCGTTTCCAGGTCTTTTGGAGATACTACTCGAGGTTTCTATGAGAGTCGATACTGAGCCAATTTGCCTTTTCGATGCTCTTGATGAATGCAACGCCGAAGACTGTAGGCGAATTACTGCCGCACTGAGCAAGTTCTACATGAACCCCGCTGAGGGCAGCCGCCTTAAATTCATCATCACGTCTAGGCCGTACGCCCACATTCAGCGAAGCTTACAAAAGCTCGAGACCTCGACACCGACTATCCATTTGAGGGGCGACGATGAGTTGCAATCGAAAAGAATCTCTGGTGAGATTGGCGTCGTCATTCGCCACCGAGTAAGGAGCATCGCAGAAGCTCGACTACTGGAACCTCATGAAATTGAGTTGCTGGAGCAAAGCTTGTCGAACTCACAACATCGAACCTACCTATGGGTTAAGCTCGCACTCGATTATATCGAAGACCGTCTCGAGTCTCCCACGGATGAAAGTATTCAAAGCGTCTTGAGCAGCGTGCCAGAGAAGCTAGATGGACTGTACGAAAAGATTTTGGACCGAAGTGCGAACAAGGAACGAGCCCGAAAGGTTCTACAAATCATCATTGCGGCGTTTACATCATTGTCTCTCGATCAGATATCCACGGCACTTTGTATCGAAAAAGAGCACAGCAGAGGCTTACAACTCATCAAAGAGCCGACTCACAGGTTCCTGTCATACTTGAGAGAAATCTGCGGGCTCTTTGTGACCGTCGTTGATGGGAAAGTCTATCTCCTTCACGAAACTTCCAGAGAGTTTTTGATGCGGAGTTCAGATTATATGATGCTTGATGCGCAAGATGAAAGACACAACTTAACTTGGATACACTCAATCACACTACGAGAGTCCCACTTAGTGGTAGCAAAAGTGTGTGTCTGGTATCTCATGAAGAAAGACTTTGAAAAATTTGCTGGAAAGCACAATGACAAAGGATCTGATTGGGAAATGGCAGCTTATACTTCGAGGTCCTGGGCTCGTCACCTCAACAGCATCAATGCACAGGACATCGAATCTATTGCAAATGAAACGATATATCTCTGCAAAATAGCTCTTAAGAAGGAAGGGCCGCTTGAGGCTTCCAACCTAATGCGAAAATACAGACCTCCGAGATGGCATTTCGATATTGGGTTTGACAGCCTGGCCTCTTCTTGCCTACACCTGCTTGGCAACGTGCGTGGAAGCCCCTTGATTGTCGCCATAATACTTGACTTTGACTGGGTGGTCTCCAGGCTGTTAGTGGAAGATCCTCAGGCCGGACGACAGGTTGACAGAAAAGGCATCACAGCTCTATGGTGGGCAGCATGGACGGGCAACGCTCAAATTGCGCGCCTTCTCCTTGAACTGTATGATGACACAGACTACGGAGACATTGCCCTCAATGGAATCCGAAGCACTCCTTTGACAGTAGCAATAGCTCACAAGCACAATGCTGTGGCAAATGCACTGCTGAAGGATCCGAGAACAAGTATCACCACTCGTTGTCGTGTGCGCCGGAATTGGACCCCCATACACTACGCGATCGCTGCAGACAACTCTGAGCTTTTCCAGCTTCTTGTAGCTGAGGAATGCACTTTTGCCAGCTGGAATGCCGCCGACTTTGCTGATTTACTGACGCATTCTATCAAATGGGGTAGTGCGCAGACTGTCAATCATTTACTCTCTGACAGTCGGTTTGACTTCAATTCTTCGGATCCAAAGACTTGGCGAACCCAGTTTTGTCAACTTGCGAATCCAATGGAAAGGAATGAACTTCGACCGAGCTTTGCAGAGGAAGAACGTCTCAACATGATGCGACTTCTTGTGGAAACTCATCAAGTTGACTTCGCCAAATCCGATCGCGGCGATAGATCTCCCGTCAGCTAGGCGGCGAACAGACCCGCCAATGCGGCCATTTTGACATATCTGTTGGATGAGCTCAAACTTGAGCCAGATACCCTGGATAGGCAAGGTCGGAGCCCATTGTCCTACAGCGCAGAAGTTTACTGCTGCCAAAACATCGACGCCCTGCTACGGACGGGTAAAGTCAATATCAACTCAGTTGACAACGAGGGTCGGACTCCCCTCATGATGGCGACACAACTCCAATGTCGGGCGAAGATCACGAAACGTGCTCCCTCAGAAAGAAAGCTGAAAATTTCTCGCATCAGCGCGGCAGCTGCCACATTGAGATTATTGGATCACGGTCCCGATGTCAATCTTCAAGACGTGGAAGGGAATACGGCTCTGATAAACGCAGCTCAAGACCGCGTAGTGGAGGGTGTTAAAGCGCTGATAAGACATGGAGCAGATGTCAATATCCAAGACACGAATGGTCGCACAGCGTTAGCTCACGCGGCAGAACAGTTGTGTTTTGAGTCCGTGGAGGCGTTACTCAGGGCGGGCGCAGACGCGAATTTGTGTGACGACAAAGGCAGATCACCTCTCTGGTTGGCGACCGAGTCGACGAATCGCTTGCTCCCTAGATACGATATTTATGGTAAAATGGAGAATATGCGAGGTGTTGTTGGTCTTCTGGAATCTAGCAAACGATAAGATCGTGGATTGGAATCCTATGGAAGGGTTTGGAACTTGGTTAGGAACCATGATTGTGAAGAAGGATTTATCATCTTTGTGTAAATTTATCTTATCAATGTCGTTTAGCAAAATTGGATGCTTTATCCACATCTTCCTCGTCAGACGCAGACAGCAGTGCCTCATCTTCCAGAGCCCAGTCATCTAGTGGTATATCCTCCGCCTGTAACCTCGTATACTTCCTGTTTCTATACTTCTTCACAGCCACGACAACCCCAATGACAGCTCCTGATAGCACTGCAATGATCAGCCCCATGGATACCCACCTCCTCCATCCTCTCAGACAACACGGGTACAGGGACATGTAAATGCCGACTCCCCACTCCATCCATCCCATCTTGCGCCTCTGGTCTGGCTTTAGGCCTTTTCTGACGAGATGCTTGTGTCGAGGGCCAGTTGGGCCAGACTCGATCCTCTTCAATCCAAACTTGGGAACGATTTCCTGGCGGGGATCGGAAGCTGGGTATGCTATGTCCCCCCATCGGCCGGAGTAGTAGAAGAAGGACGTCAAGTTTGAGGATGGTGGCGGAGTTGGGGATGACCTGGCTGGTGGATCTAATCTAGTGACGGTGAAGGACTCTTTATCGAAATGATAGAAGTATGCTGAGAGAATAGGGTCCCATCTTTTTCCTTCGTCGCAGTAGTCGACCAAGACGGAGTTGTGTATTTGGTTGCTAATTAATTGAGTCAGTCTAGGCCCTGGACCCAAATAAGAAGACAATGAACTCACCCACGGGTTGGATAGTTGGCATGAGATCCACGTGCGCTGTAAACAATTGGCTTGACGAAGTTAGTAAATTCTCGTGCCACTAGCTGAGAGACTAAGTAGAGTCACAAACCCTTCCATCGGTCTTTGTGAGGGCTGAATCATCCCAACTGAAAGAGGCGCCATCAACGTGCTGACTGTAGTAGATTCCAGTCGGCTTCCTATCTCGGAAGCGAATCATGTTATGCTCCCAATCCCCGACGTGATCACCAAAGTGCATCCCTGACTGCGCCTTCTCGCCCTTGACCATACGATTGAATGGTTCCAGAACTTGGCTGATATTCATGCCCTCGTTGAATGAGTAGAAGTAGAAGTAAAACGCATCCAGGTCCCGCTCTCCCTTCTCGACGAGAACTACAACGCATGGTGTGGCGTTGTTGATTCTGCCATCAGCGTCGGGGGTCTCACCGTGAATCCATTCTGGGTAGCTTAACGGATCGTCGTTTGACGTGAGAGCTACTTCGTCTCCAAACTTGTTTAGTGTTTCCAGGTTGTCAAGGTCGAGAGTTGAGATATCCGGGATAGGTTTGCCGTCTAGTGCCGGAGAGGTATGTTGGATGTGCGTCAAGAGGTCGCTAGGCATGTAAGGATCCTCAGAGTGAAGCCAGATGAGAGGTGCTACATGCCATATCAGACCTCTAGTAAATTGGAAGGCCGTAAATGTAATCCCCAGCTATGAGATGCCAGCATCGGATACGTGACTGACTTACCATGCTGGATGACGTAATCGGGACACCGGAGATCCGCGCCGATCGCCGGCCCGGCGATAGTGGAGCATATCAAGAAACCGATGAGGAGACAAATTCGCTGCGGTGAGAATGCCTGCTTGAAAGCAGGCGCTGAAGCAGCCATCTCAAACACAACTTCTTGAATATTGATAGATAGTTTTGGAGGAGATGTGCAGTTGTTTATCGCAAAACTCAAAAGTGTCAGACATCCTGTGCTTAATCAGCAAAAGCGTGCATGCACGCTATCGAAGGCAGCAGCAGCACTGGGCGGGAACCTCGGGATCCGGGAGCTGCCCGGAAGGTTCGGAGTGGAGCCAAGCGCTGCAGGCCCCTCCTTCGCTATGTCCGTCTTGATATCCGTCCAACCGTTTATTCTCCACTATGGATGCTCTTACTACGCATCACGGATTCCCGCGGCATTTGGTTCCGGGGATGAGCAATTTGGCGGGGGGTTACTGGGGTGATGTCACGTAATGGCATTATTTTTCTCTTCTTTTTCGAGTGCCAATCAAGGTCGTTGTGCGGACGGTGGCTGGCGAGTATTGCTGTGGAACAGAGGACATGACTTGTTTGGATCTCAAGTTTTGATACATCAAGATCGCTTGGCGCCTGGGGCAATTCCGATGTGCCCGTTGTTATTGGTTTGGGAGACTTTTGGCTTCCTGAGACTCTTGCGATGCTATGTATGAGTATTGGAATCCACGCCTTCATCGGCTCAAGACTCCATAAAGCAGGTTCATCGCCCTTGTTTGAACCCTCATATTGCGTGGAGATACTCATTGACTCATGTAGTCGGCGACGTCGTTTTCGTTAATCTCAATCTACTTGTCAATGTGCATGCATATGAAAGCCAAACGGGATGCTATCCAGACCATCCTTCAGATAGAGCAGACTTTTCGGTATCGCTAGTTTCGCGGTACAGAACTCACAGGCAGCTCTCAAAGTACACACAATTGTTTCTTGGATCGATGAGAGCGTAGCAGCTGTGCTTGTCGTATTGATACGATAATTAGATTCAAGTTCATTTAGCTTCCCGGCCGCGAACTTTGAAAGCTTGTAAAGACGACATTAGAGCTAGACTGATCTTTACCGAGACCGAAGGTCTAAACAAGCGGTATTAGAGTGTTGCTACGGAATGTTTCATCCGATCACACAGAATAAGATGAAGACCTTCAAATCGGCGAGTTATGTATGTCGATCAGTTGTTTCTAGAATCTAGCTGCCGTCCAAGTAATGGTTCCCGGTTAGTCTACATCGATAAGCTTTGGATCATCCAGTATCACCTATTTTCAAACTTGCCTATTTTCCTTCAAGAGGGTAGTTTCCCCTAATGTGACATTGAGCCTAAGTTGGCTATTTATTCAAAGCTCATTTTGTTACAGGCTGCAAAGGACTTCACATTGCTGTGGGCCATGAGCTACCTTATCGGCATGTGGGGTGACACAGGCTGCGAGATCCTGCCGTGCAAGCCTCATTACAAAAAACCAAAAGGATGGCGTCTTCTGGTGCTGTTCAGGCGGAGATCGCCGTCCATCACCCAACCCTACCGAATTCAGCCTTGGCAACCTTGGAGAGTGTTTGCCTGGCTTGTCTCACCCATCCAAGGCTGTCTGACAGTAATAGCAAACAAGGGACTTTGGTGCGTGCGGTCAGATCCCGGGGCGTCCCCAGATTCGACCCCGGTCCTAGACTCCTACAAGGCGTCTTTGCGGAGGGTGCGCCACATACGTTTACTCAAAGTCCCAACGTGGTAGCAATCGTCATCACACTCCCACCATCCCTCGTAGAACCAAAGGTTCGACACATTATTGGCTGAAGAGAGCTTCCCAAATAACTCTTGCTCAATTGACGCTCGGGTACTTTGTCGCAGACCAAGCTTCCCTAAGCTTTTCCCGCTACAGGAGGAAGAGACATCCTCCCCTCATGTGCCACGCGACCAACGAGATCAAGGTGAACTACCTCCTCAATGGCCAGACAGACAGGCCATTGCAGCTGTCTACAGCATAAGCTGCATGAAATAGCCTGTCACGCCTGTTGTGACCCCGCATAGAATCGAAGGGAGCTCTAACAGCGTTAGGCCGATTCGGGGCGCTCCCATCTCACTTCCCTAAGATTAGAGGCGTCGCCTGTCTACCTGATGGCCTGGCTAGCCAGGCTTTGTTTCAATGACTTTGCTTCACTGGTCTACCTCGGTGGCCCGAATGCAATGTGAGAGGTTGCGATGATGTACAACTCATACGACCATGCCCGTTCATCACCCTCACTCCCAAAAGTATGCCCTCCAGCCGTCTCCTTGTTCCCGCCAACCCAACCAACACCCCGGCTACATGCTCACCCGACGCCCGCTACTTTGAAGTACATGGTGTTGATGAGACAGGGTGATTCAGATGACAGGGACGGCCCCTCAGACGTTGGACGGGTAATTCTGGATATTTAATCTGAACCCCCCCTCCCTTTGGACGGCTTGAAGCTATCGAGCGGCACGGTGCAACTGCGTCACCCACGGCAGCTACTTTCTCGCGCGCACAGCTTCACTGCAGCCTTGTACAAGAAATCTTCATCGTGAACCACGTCCATCATGGCGGAACCAGAGAAGAGAATCGAGACGGAATCACCGTACGTAACCCCCAGCCCAAACTCATCGCACCCAGCATTCCCGCGTGAACCTCCACCGGGACGCAACTTACACAAGCTCCAGGATCCACAAAGACGGCGTCGAGCACCACGACGAACGCAAAAAGTCCATTGCGGAACTCACCCAAAACCTCGAGGGCGAGATCAAGAACCCCCTCAAAGGCATCCCCAAAGTAGAACTCCTCAACCAGGTAACAGCATATCACAAGAAACACGACCTGCCCGAAGACATCCTCCCGCTGCTGAAAAAGGGCGCTCTCGTCGCGCAGAACCCGGCACTCTTCGAGTCCATCGAGGAGCTCGACGAAGCGGAGAGGGACGCGCTGCGCCAGGAGGTGACGCACCGGTGGAAGCACCCCTGGGCTCTGTATTACACCATCATTCTCAATTCTATCGCGGCGGCTATTCAAGGCTGGGATCAGGTAAGCCAAACATGGTTTGAATCCTTCGCGCCCCCCCCCCCCCTCTCCATGCCATGTCCTTCGTCTTCCCCTCTTATTATTATCCACCTTTTCCCTTGCGGGTTCCCCGCAAATTCCGCATGATCTCCCGGGAGCTTAGTTTTCCTAACGGCGCTGCACCAGACCGGGTCCAATGGCGCCAATTTGTCGTTTCCCACTGCGCTCGGCATCCCTGACACGGCGGGTTCGTCCTGCGGGCCGGTCGCCAACGAGGGCGACTGCGCGAAGAATAGCTGGATTATCGGCCTTGTGAACTCCATGCCTTACATTACCATCTGCCTATTGTGAGTATTGAACCGTGCAGGATAGGACAAGTGAGAGATGTGCTGATTGATGGCGGACAGCGCTGGCTGGATCTCGGATCCTCTCAATGATCTCCTCGGTCGACGCGGTGTCATCTTCATCGCTGCCATCTTTTCGTTGCTCGCGCCCTTTGGCATGGCTGTGTCGCAGACATGGGGACAGCTCGCAGCTTGCAGGTAAGAAAAAGCCCCCAAATTAACGCCCACCAGCGACGTCGTGATGCTCACTGATTATGCACAGAATGCTGCTTGGCATCGGCATGGGCTTGAAAGAAGTTACGGTCCCCGTCTTCTCCGCCGAGAACTCCCCCACTCTTATCCGTGGCGGCTTGGTAATGTCTTGGCAGGTCTGGACTGCGTTCGGTGAGCCTCAAAATCACAGCCCCGTCCCAAGAAAACACCAAGAAATCTTGACTCTTGCCGATCTCTTGGTGTTTTGCTTGGCATGCTACCATTCAAAAAATGCTAATTCTTCGCAAGGCATCTTCCTTGGCACATGCGCCAACCTCATTGTCGGTAAGACGGGCGACATTGCTTGGCGCCTCCAATTCGGCTCCGCCTTCATCCCGGCCGTCCCGCTTGTCATTGGGACGTACTTTTGCCCCGAGTCTCCTCGATGGTACCTGAAGAAGGGAAGGCATCTCAAGGCGTGGAGATCGCTGAAGCGTTTGCGCAATACGGAGCTTCAGGCGGCGAGGGATCTGTACTACATCCACTCGCTTCTGGAGTACGAGGAGACTATGATCAAGGAGTCTGGGCTCAAGGTCACGAGTAACATGTTTACACGCTTCGTCGAGCTGTTTACGATTGCTCGGATTAGGCGGGCGACGTGGGCTTCTGGTATTGTCATGATTGCGCAGCAGATGTGTGGAAGTAAGTACTCTTCAAACATGGCTATAAGTGAAAGGGTTCAGAGGACTAACATACTGTTCTAGTCAACATCATCTCGTTCTACAGCGCGACCATCTTCAAGCAGAGTGGTATCAGCGACTACACCGCACTCTGGGCCAGTTTCGGCTTCGGTTTGATCAACTTCACCTTCGCCTGGCCTGCCGTATGGACGATTGATACGTTTGGTCGGAGAACTCTCTTGCTGTTCACATTCCCGAACATGTTTTGGACTCTGCTCAGTACGTCAAGTCTTCATGTTAACAAGACGTTGCATATGAGTGCTAACGTGGTCGTGCAGCTGCTGGACTCTGCTACCTCATCAACGACAGCACCGCCCGAATCGCCGCAGTAGCGACGTTCGTCTACCTCTTCGCGGCATTCTATTCCCCAGGTAAGTAACTTCAATCCTCACCATTACTGAATCTTACAAAGTCAACTAACACCTCAAAACAGGCGAGGGTCCTGTCCCCTTCATGTACTCCGCCGAAGTCTTCCCCCTCTCCCACCGCGAAATCGGCATGTCCTGGGCCGTGGCAACCAACAACTTCTGGGCATCCGTGCTCTCCCTGACCTTGCCGCGCATGCTGATCGCCATGACGTCCACCGGTGTGTTTTGCTTTTACGCGGGCCTGAACCTCGTCGCCCTCGCGCTCATCTTTCTGTTCGTTCCGGAGACGAAGCAGAAGTCGCTCGAGGAGCTTGATTACGTCTTTGGTGTGCCGGAGCGGAAGCACGCTTCGTACCAAGTCAAGACTGTGTTGCCATGGTGGATCAAGAGGTGGGTTTTCCAGAAGAAGGGGGCTAAGTGTCCTGATTTGTATCATGATGAGAATTCG